TGGGTGGATTTTTTCCTTTACGATTTAACGATGTTCCACAGATGCTGATTTATCTCTGGAAGTGAGAAGCCATTCACATGATCAGATACAAGTTATTTGCTGTTCCAGCAAGTGTTTACACACTGAAATTATGATGATTAATGAGCATAAACAAGTTTAGCTAGATTTAGAGCGGGAAAAAGACATGACATCCGTATGCCCTCGAAGGCGTGCGCTTCCCCGCGGCTCCGTTGTTCAGTGATGCCAGGTAGGCTACTTCCGTTTTATAGTAGAGCTGTGGTTAATATGAGCAGCTGAGAAATACATCTAAGAACACTTATTTCACTCCAGGCATTGTTTGAGGAGCATGCTCTCACTGCGTGACAGGTGATATTCTGCCCAAACTCTGTATGGCATGGGCTCTCCAACCCAGTTCCTGCTGCTACCCAGTGCTTAATTTGGGAAACCAAGTGAAATCTGTTCGGTAACATGTTTTCGCAACAAAACATATTTCACTAAATGTTGACAGCCCCCCTGCGCGCTCAAGAAAAGAAGGAAAGGAAGAAAGGAGATGGAAACGCACAGTGGTGAGATTCTGTATAGCCAAAGGTAATGTCACCCAATTATAGGCTATTCAAAATTGCATACAAATTCACTATAATTGTAAATTAACTGTAAGCCGCCCTGCACAATCATTGAACCAAAAGCATTGCCTAGAGCTGTAGTTCTCTCCCAGACTCGTGTTTAGAAATGTTGGAGCGTAACATAAGGTAACCAAGTCCATCCAGTATGCATAATAATACAGTCCACATTCAAAGGCGATTACTCAAATTTGTTTAATTTTAGAGGATAGGCTAGACCAATTATGTACCAAAGACATCTTAAATCAGTTTTGTTTTATGTTTTTCTGCCATGCCTAATATTTGGTAGGCTATGCATTGTATAACAGCAAAATCATAATTTTAATTCAGGCTAAGCCTATGCATGAGCTCTAATATGCTTTTGGTGTTTTGAATTAATCATCACCTTAGAAAGCGATGGCCATTTTGTTGTTAGGCTTTGAAACAACATCCACAAGGATAATTTTTTTTCTTTTCTTTTTTACACTGTTTCAACCTGCTGTTGAACTTCTTTCTTCAAATTGATCATCACATTAAGTTGAGTTTTAAAAGCATAATACTGTTTCGATAAGTGTTTGTGATTTTTCGAAAGCATTTGCATACAGTGCATTCAGAAAGTATTCAGACCGCTTGACTTTTTCCACATTTTGTTATGTTAAAGCCTTATTCTAAAATGGAACGCAAATCTTCAATCTACACACAATACCCCATAATGACAAATCGAAAACGGGTTTTTAGAAATGTTTGCAAATGTATTAAAAATATAAAACAGAAATACCTTATTTACATAAGTATTCAGACCCTTTGCTATGAGACTCGAAATTGAGCTCAGGTGCATCCTGTTTCCATTGATCATCCTTGATGTTTCTACAACTTGATTGGAGTCCACCTGTGGTAAATTCTATTGATTGGACATGACTTGGAAAGGCACACCTGTCTATATATGTCAGAGCAAAAACCAAGCCATGAGGTCGAAGGAATTGTCCGTAGAGCTCCGAGACAGGATTGTGTTGAGGCACAGATCTGGGGAAGGGTACCAAAAAATGTCTGCAGCATTGAAGATCCCCAAGAACACAGTGGCCTACATTGTTAAATGGAAGAAGTTTGGAACCACCAAGGCTCTTCCTAGAACTGGCCTCCTGGCTAAACTGAGCAATCGGGGGAGAAGGGCCTTGGTCAGGGAGGTGACCAAGAACCCGATGGTCACTCTGACAGAGCTCCAGAGTTCCTCTGTGGAGATGGGAGAACCTTCCAGAAGGACAACAATCTCTGCAGCACTCCACCAATCAGGCCTTTATGGTAGAGTAGCCAGACGGAAGTCACTCCTCAGTAAAAGGCACATGACCACCCGCTTGGAGTTTGCCAAAAGGCACCTAAAGACTCTCAGATCATGAGAAACAAGATTCTCTGGTCTGATGAAACCAAGATTGAACACTTTGGCCTGAATGCCAAGTGTCACGTCTGGAGGAAACCTGGCACCAAACCTTACAGTGAAACATGGTGGCAGCATCATGCTGTGGGGATGTTTTTCAGTGACTGGGAGACTAGTCAAGATCGAAGGAAAGATGAACGGAGCAAAGTACAGAGAGATCCTTGATGAAAACCTGCTCCAGAGCGCTCAGGACCTCAGACTGGGGCGAAGGTTCACCTTCCAAAAGGACAACAACCCTAAGCACACAGCCAAGACAACGCAGGAGTGGCTTCGGGACAAGTCTCTGAATGTCTTCGAGTGGCCCAGCCAGAGGCCGGACTTGAACCCGATCAAACATCTCTGGAGAGACCTGAAAATAGCTGTGCAGCGACGCTCCCCATCCAACCTGACAGAGCTTGAGAGGATCTGAAGAGGAGATTGGGAGAAACTCCCCAAATACAGGTGTGCCAAGAAGACTCAAGGCTGTAATCGCTGCCAAAGGTGCTTCACCAAAGTACTAAGTAAAGGGTCTGAATACTTATGTAAGCCTGATATTTCAGTGTTCCATTTTTTAAATAAATTTGCAAAAAAATCTAAAAACCTCTTTTTGCTTTGTCCTTATGGGGTATTGCGTGTAGATTGATGAGGGGGGAAAAACAATTGAATACATTTTTGAATAAGCTGTAACGTAACAAAATGTGGAAAAAGTAAAGGGGTCTGAATACTTTCTGAAGGCACTGCATGTCACTGGTTAGAGGGACAATAGAGCTCTGAGTACCAGTCCATTAGGACCTGATGGTCGCTAGCAGGTTGGGTACTGCCAAAGCATGTCCAGAGTGCATAAGAGGAGATTACCGTGACTCAACAGTCACGTAGAATTTTACTGCTGTCATGACTCATGACTGCTGGTGTGTTGGTAATACGGTCACCGCAACAGCACTATTCATCACATACTGATCTTTATAAGCGTATACAGGGCTTAACATTTAACTTTTTTAGCCACTTGTCCTTTAGACAAGTAGGACTTTATTTTAATTTTATTTTTTTACTTGTCCGAAAGCTCAAGTAATTTGTCGTCATTCTGTAACACCATGGGCCAAAAAGGTGACTGAAAATTATGTTGTTGTATGATGTAAAGAACCACTTCACAAAATAACATTCATTATTATCACTGGTATTGACAAAGGAAGGCTGCTGCGCTCTGATTCCATGTATTATACAGTAGCGCTCCTGGAGGATGGTTGGAAACATAAAAATTACAACCAACTACTTTTTGTCTTACTAAAATAATTCCCTCATTCAATGAACCAGGGATCAAATGGCTAAGGTGGGCAAGGTAGCTAAGATGTTTATTCATACCGAACAAAAATATAAATGCAACATGACACAATTTCAAACATTTTACTGAGTTACAGTTCATATAAGGAAATCAGTCAATTGAAATAATTTCATTAGGCCCTAATCTATGGATTTCACATGACTGGGAATACAGATATGCATCTGTTGGTCACAGATACCTTTAAAAAAAAAGTAGGGCCGTGGATCAGAAAACCAGTCAGTATCTGGTGTGACCACCATTTGCCTCATACAGCACGATATCTCCTTCGCATAGAGTTGATCAGGCTGTTGATTGTGGCCTGTGGAATGTTGTCCCACTCCTCTTCAATGGCTGTACGAAGTTTCTGTTTATTAGCGGGAATTGGAACACGCTGTCGTACACGTCGATCCAGAGCATCCCAAACATGCTCAATGGGTGACATTGTCTGGTGAGTAATACAAGCCCAGGAATATCTGGGACATTTTCAGCTTCCAGGAATTGTATAGAGACACTTCCGACATGGGGCCGTGCATTATCATGCTGAAACATGAGGTGATGGTGGCGGATGAATGGCACGACAATGGGCCTCAGGATCGCGTCACGGTATCTCTGTACATTCAAATTGCCATCAGTAAAATGCAATTGTGTTCGTTGTTCGTAGCTTATGCCTGCCCATACCATAACCCCACCTCTACAATGGGGCACTCTGTTCACAACGTTGACATCAGCAAACCGCTCGCCCACACAACGCCATACACGTGGTCTGCGATTGTGAGGCCGGTTGGACATACTGCCAAACTCTCTAAAGAAAACTATGTTGGAGGCGACTTATGGTAGAGAAATTAACATCCAATTTTCTGGCAACAGCTCTGGTGGACATTTCTGCAGTCAGCATGCCAATTGTACACTCCCTGAACTTGAGACATCTGTGGCATTGTGTTGTATGACACAACTGCACATTTTAGTGGCCTTTTGTCCCCAGCACAAGGTGCACCTGTGTAATGATCATTCTGTTTAATCAGCTTCTTGATATGCCACACCTGTCAGGTGGATGGATTATTTGGCAAAGGAGAAATGCTCACTAAAAGGGATGTAAACACATTTATGCACCAAGTCTTAGCGAAATACGTTTTATGTGCGTATGGAACATTTCTGGGATCTTTTATTTCAGCTTATGAAACATGGGACCAACACTTTACATGTTGCGTTTATATTTTTGTTCAGGGGAGATCTTGACAGCTTTGGAGTTACTTGTCAATTAGGCCCACTGGCACACGCAGGTGATGCATACACAATTACTTTTCCAGGATTTTAATTGTTGACCAAAAATGAGCTATAACTGGGCAAATAACTCACTAACTAGCAATGAATTTCAACAAATGTGCACACGTGGATAGTCGCTTTGATCTCAAAAATGTATCTGCCGACTGCATGATTGAAAGACAGCTCGTGCCTGTCTATGCAGGCCTACACTTATGCAATTATTTAATGGGTCAATGAGCACGGCGCTCAGTAATTTAACCATGTCATGTGAAACAATAGGAATATATCCCTCATCATTCGCCAAAACGTCTTGTCGGCCTACTTCTGTCGTATCTGTTGGATACTCGGCAGTATAATAATAGTTTTGGCTCTTGTCCAGTAAACCAGTGTCACCCTCTTTTCCACCAGCATGGTCATGTGAGCATGCGGTCAGAAGGGGAACAGGCGGAGTGTGTACAGTCCTGACTAGCGGGTGGGGCATCCCCCTGAGTGCCATTGAGTCGGATGGAAAGTAGCCAAGACTGGGTTCACTGGTAGAGCGGTTGAAGTATTTTTTTGAAATTGCTTTCTGTGGTTCTCTTTATTTCCGCCTCTGTGCTTTGACAGTTGACGAACAAAAGCTTTCCTGAGTGGGGTATGAGTGGATAACTTGCGGCGGTAAGGGCTCTCTGCTGGGTAGCTCTTATACCTGGCTGCATTTGACCCGTTCTGGTCTCTCCATGCGCCAAAGTTAGAGAAAGAAACACTGGTTTTGCTGGCTCATCCTCAGTGTTTTGATTTTGTTCCAGCTGGACAGACTTGTGAAAGTGTCTGGTCCTGGACATCACGCTGTGTCCGGGTTATAGAGTAATGTGATCTGAATGTTTATCCCTGTGGCTCAAGCAGTCTTAGTTCCTCACTGTGAAAGAGCCAGCTTGTCAATGCTCATTATGTGCACTGCAATATAAGATGTGTGTGTGTTGTCTGTGCACCAGTAGCATGGTCTCCTCACTAGACTTGTCAGTCAGTGAATAATGAATGAACCATAGCAAGAGCATGTGTCATATTCTACTTGAAAGTGAAGCTGCGACAGGGAGTGCACCAGCACTGCGAGTATAAATAGTGCAAGTGTTCGTTTACATCCTTTTGTTCCTCACTGGCTTTTGTCATACTGTTCAAAGCCTCTTTCCTCAATACAAGAAATCCTTTCAGAAGCGCCAAAACTTTGAAAATATCCCATGTGTCCAAACAGATAATAAATAACATTAACCAAGAAAAGACCATCACTAGCTAGGTTTCCATCCAATTGGCGACAGATTTTCATGCGAATATTAAGAAATATTGATAAGTTGCGTCAATTCAAATCTGGTATTGGAACAAAAAGAGGTCAATACACGTCTTCTAAAATAGACTAGTATTTTAATTAATGCAAAACACTTCAATGGTAAATATGATGTTCGTATATACGGGTCCACTGAAATACCACGCAGGGCAGACAGAGAACTGATCCATTGTTCTAAGTTCTTCTCCAAACTATCAGAGTAGACAGAGCGTGGTTTAGACTTACTCAGCCTATCGTCGGCGCACAGGCTGGTCCCAGCCCCTTGGCGCTTCACTGTTGCCAGGTGTTTAGTTGTTTTGCAACTTGTCCAGAGAGTCAGCACTTTTGCAGTACACATGTCCTTGAGCACGGTTTAACAAAGAGGCAGTGTTTGTGTCTGTGTGAGACTCACAAGTCTTATCTCCCCCTACTCCCTAACAGCTCCTCACATGAATCACAGCTTGTTATGTTAAACAGTCTATATCAGTACAGCACAAACCTATTATGTTTAATCATTAATGTATTCTTTCTAAGCTAGGCATCACATCTAGTTATAAGAAAATAGATCCCCACAATCTGCATAAAAACAATATGCGCATTTTCCCACCAGAGATGTTTCCATCAAATTAACTTGTTGCAGATAAAAGGCTGTGCGTGATGACGTAGTGCACAAAAATACCTTTTGCGGTAAAATCTCCATGTACCGAAATCAAGTCAAATGGATTTCCATCGCATTTTCAACTCTACTGATAGTTTTCTCACATTTGTTGCGTTATATAGCGAGTGTGCACTTTGGTATTGGCATGTGCAGTCTAGCCAACAGTGCTATCTGCGTGCTGTTGGCTAGAACGCACGTATAGCCTATATGAGATTGTTGTTATGGACAAAAGAGCGATACTTTTTTTTGTCAAACAGCAGCCAAGCACAGATCATAATGTCACCGGAATAAGACCCTTGATATTTATTGGAAAGGAGCATCAAGCTCATAACCTTGCACTTTCACCACCCTGTGAAGTTCATCATAATCATAATTTATTTAATCTGTAGCCTAATAAACTGCATGCTTTCCCGAGAAGTCATAGTGGGAGGACCACACATATCATCGTGTGACTCCAAATTTCTAGCATAATTCATTTTACCGACACAAAGATAAATAATAATAAATAATCCCACCTTGTCTAGCGTATTTTGTTTTGTCGACATTTGTCAAGTTTACCGAAAAATGTTCTGTTTCCATCAGGTCTGTAATTACATTTTATATCTGACATGAACTTTACTCGCATAAAAATGTTGCATAGAAACCTGGTTATTGACTAGAATTTGGCCACCAAGCGCTTTATCAAAGGATTTTGGCCTTCTTCTTTACTCACCTGCAGATACTAGTCCTTTAGGTGAGTTGTTTAGAAGAAAAAGCACCTTGCAGTGATTAATGAGCTTCTCCACATGCCAGCCATTTTGCTCCTGAGTGGTGCTGCAGTCTAAGGCACTGCATCTCAGTGCTAGAGGCACACTAGACCCTGGTTAGATTCCAGGCTGTATCACAATCCAGCCGTGATTGGGAGTCCCGTAGGCGGCACACAATTGGCCCAGCGTTGTCTGGGTTTGACCGGGGTAAGCCGTCATTGTAAATAAGAATTTGTTCTTAACTGACTTGCCTAGTTAAAAAATAAAATAAAAAGTGGAATCTGTGTGTGAGCTGCTCGTGTCTCCCAGCAGCTCAGTGAGTGTGTGCTGGCCGCCAACCTCCCCCTCCACTCAAATCTCTTGCCTCCTGAATCATCTGCTATGGAGACAAAGTATTAGGGAAGGATGCTGCTATTTATTGTGTTTAGGGATTGCTGACATACCAGTGTCGTTAGGGCTGTTTCTGCAGACAAGTGTGATCTGTCACAAGGATGGATGTCCTTGATTGCACAAACATGACTCATGAAGTGTGTATTCCTCTGGTTACATCAACTGTCCCCGATATATATAAACTTTCACTTGAAATCTAAAACCACTGCCTTGCACTGTCACGCTGAGCCATATGAAGATTTCAGATATTAACTCATGGCCTAGCATGGAATCTAAGCAAGCAACCACGTATGAATCTGTATGAATAACGTTTACAGAGTGGCTTCGAGCAGACATTTCACCATCTTTAGACATAATTAAATGTAAACTTGATGTTTCAGATGTTGTCAAGCAAAACAAGCCAACTCTGTTCTGGTTGGAAGTTTGGGATGTCTCCGTAGTGTCAGATAAAGTTGATAATTGTCCAAACTTGCACTAGCAAGGACATCTTAACAGGTAGGTCTAGCCCTTTATGGGTATTCCACACAGGAACCATAAACCCACATGGATTAATGAGGGGAGGAAATAAGGTGCCCAAGAAATTTACTGTATGGTTGCGTTTTATCTGGCAGTTGTCTTCCTAGTGTCAGCTTTTTTAGTGTGTGCGGCTTGATGGCAGTCCAAACCATTAAATATCTTCGGTTGAAGTCCATAATTTTGTGAGGTGCATTCATTTTGCTATTTGGTTATTTCTCGAAGACCTCTTTTCTGTTGTCACTTAAAACTGTGGGCTGGACATTGGCCTCCATTTGTAGAATCTGGAAATAATAAGGCTTTTCTTTCCAAATAATATTTGTTTGCACATTCAACAATTATGTCTGAATGAGATATTTGTATTAGCTGCCTGCTTTGTGTGCCACTGTTAATTGCCTTGTACCAACAAATCCATCTTCTCTCCCCACAGGTTCAACTACAGATCAACACATCACCTGACCACAAATGGGTTTTACGAGTTCCTCAACTGGTTCGACGAGAGGTCGTGGTACCCCTTGGGGAGGATCGTGGGGGGCACAGTAAGTTTATATCAAATCAAATCAAACTTTGTCACATGCGCCGAATAGAACCTTATCGTAAAATGCTTACTTACAAGCCCTTAACCAACAATACAGTTCAAGAAAGAGTTAAGAAAATATTTACCAAATAAACATAACACTAACGAGGCTATATACAGGAGGTGCTGGTACCGAGTCAATGTGTGGGGGTACAGGTTAGTCGAGGTAATTTTTACATGTAGGTAGGGGTAAAGTGACTATACAAAGATAATAGACAGCGGGTAGCAGCAGTGCAAAAACAAATGGGGGGGTCAATGTAAATAGTCCGGGTGGCCATTTGAATAATTTTTCAGCAGTCTTATGGCTTGTGTGTAGAAGCTGTTAAGGAGCCTTTTGGTCCTAGACTTGTTGCTCCGGTACCGCTTGCCGTGCTGTAGCAGAGAGAACAGTGTATGACTTGGGTGACTGGAGTCTTTGACAATACTTTGGGCTTTCCTTTGACACCGCCTAGTATATAGGTCCTGGATGGCAGGAAGCTTGGCCCCAGTGATGTACTGGGCCGTACACACTACCCTCTGTAGCGCCTTACGGTCAGATGCCGAGCAGTTGCCATACCAGGCGGTGATGCAACCAGTCAGGATTCTCTCGATGGTGCAGCTGTAGAACTCTTTGAGGATCTGGGGACCCATGCCAAATCTTTTCAGTCTCCTGTGGGGGAAAAGGTGTTGTCGTGCCCTCTTCACGACTGTCTTGGTGTGTTTGGACCATGATAGTTTGTTTGTGATTTGGACACCAAGGAACTTGAAACTCTCGACCCGCTCCACTACAGCCCCGGCGATGTTAATGGGGGCCTGTTCGGCCCACCTTTTTCTGTAGTCCACGATCAGCTCCTTTGTCTTGCTCACATTGAGGGAAAGGTTGTTTTCCTGGTACCACACTGCCAGGTCTCTGACCTCCTCTCTATAGGCTGTCTCATCGTTGTCAGTGATCAGGCCTACCACTGTTGTTGTCAGCAAACTTAATGATGGTGTTGTAGTCGTGTTTGGCCACGCAGTCATAGGTGAACAGGGACTACAGGAGGGGACTAAGCACGCACCCCTGAGGGGCCCCAGTGTTGAGGATCAGCGTGGCGGATGTGTTGTTACCTACCCTTACCACCTGGGGGCAGCCTGTCAGGAAGTCCAGGATCCAGTTGCAGAGGGAGGTGTTTAGTCCCAGGGTCCTTAGCTTAGTGATGAGCTTTGTGGGCACTATGGTGTTGAACGCTGACTAGTCTCTCAGGCCCTGCTGCTGAAAAACATCCCCACAGCATGATGCTGCCACCACCATGCTTCACCGTAGGGATGGTGCCAGGTTTCCTCCAGATGTGACGCTTGGCTTTCAAGCCAAAGAGTTCAATCTTGGTTTCATCAGACCAGAGAATCTTTTTTCTCTTGGTCAGAGTCCTTTAGGTGTCTTTTGGCAAACTCCAAGCGGGCTGTCATGTGCCTTTTACTGAGGAGTGGCTTCCGTCTGGTCACTCTACCATAAAGGCCTGATTGGTGAAGTGCTGCAGACATGGTTGCTCTTCTGGAAGGTTCTCCCATCTCCACAGAGGAACTCTGGAGCTCTGACAGAGTGACTATCGGGTTCTTGGTCACCTCTCTGACCAAGACCCTTCTCCCCCGATTGCTCAGTTTGGCCGGGTGGCCAGCTCTAGGAAGAGTCTTGGTGGTTCCAAACTTCTTCCATTTAAGAACGATGGAGGCCGCTGTGTTCTTGGGGACCTTCAATGCTGCAGACACTTTTTGGTACCTTTCCCCAGATCTGTGCTTCGACACAATCCTGTCTCGGAGCTCTACGGACAATTCCTTCGACCTCATGGCTTGTTTTTTAATTTTATTTAATCCATTGTAGAATAAGGCTGTAACAAAATGTGAATAAAGGGAAGGGGTCTGAATACTTTCCGAATGCACTGTAGATATAGGCCTAGACTCCCTGTGTGGTTGGGGGGTTAGATGAGAAAGCACCATGGACCGTACTTTTTCATAAGCCTCCCCAGTGCTCTTCGATCTCAGTCACGCATCGGCAGCAACCAGTGAGCTTTTAACTTGAGGGATTCCCCATGACTGCCAATGGCCATGCTGTTTACCAATAGGAGCAGCTGTTGGGAAATCACAATATTTTTCACGGTGAGTTACTACCTGCCGATTCTGCAAGATTTATAGCCCATGCTCCTCCTCTCTCGACGGGGCCTCATCTTTTGGCTGCCCTGTAAACTATGCACTGAAGCGCTGTGAATAAACTACGACCCTGCTCTTCTCCCAGCTCCCGACATGTCTCTCTGTACTGTAATCACAGTTGCTTAATGGGGTGACGGTTTTTTACCAGCCTTGTTAGTGCAAACCTTTTAAAATGGCTCCCTGTGTTACCTCCATCACTTGTTCCACCAAGGTTGGCAGCTAAAGGTTCCCTGCTGTGTACAGTGTACTTACTCCAGGGTGGTGGGAGAGAAGCGCCGAGCTGTTAAGACATGTCAGCACTCAGTACTATTGTCAGTCGTTTTAGCAGCAGCAGATATTGCAGCGATGGAATATAGGCTAGTAGCAATTGCAGGTGTTGCTGTTAAGCAGCAATGGATTCAGTCATTCTGCACAAGGGATCCGAACTTCCTAACCTGCGTATAACATGTCTATGTGTAGGCAGTGGACCATACTTCTGCTCAGCGTGCCAGGTTACCGGTCACAGTCAGCTCTGAGAGGGCAGCAGGGTTTAGACAGCAGGTGGGTCAGACGCTGGGTACACAGAATGCAAATGCCCAGCAACATGCAAATCAATGCAAAGTGAGTGGAGATCCAGGTTCAGTTCCTGTGGGAGAACTCTGCTGCTCCTAACTTTTTGCCTTGTCAGCTACCTGTTTTCATTGCTAGGTTTATTTTTTTCTCTCCCCCACCAAATGATTAAACGATGAAGGCTAGAAGTGCTTCCCTCAGCTGTCCTGATAATACTTACAGGCTATGAGGTATGAGGGGCCTTTTGAATTTTATCAGGTAGCCTTAATGGTGTAGAAACCTCTATTGCTAATGAAATGTAACAAATCACCTCTTCTGAAAACAGTGCTTCTATGAAGTCCTTGTCAGAAATCACACCAGTTGTGGGAATAATGTAGTGTGGAAGCAAATGAGCTCATACTCTGTCTGTGACAGTCAAGAAAATATAGGGAATGCAGTCCTACACAGTGCATGACTAGGGCTGTTGTGGTGACTGTGTTACAGCCACACCGGCAGTCATGAGTCATGACAGCAGTCAAATTCTACGTGACTGAGTCACGGTAATCTCCTCTTATGCACTCTGGACAAGCATTGGCAGTACCCAACTCTAATGGCCGTCAGGTCGCTAATGGCCTTGTGCTCAGCGCTCTATTGTCCCTCAACACTCTGATAGCAATGCAAATGCAAGTGAAAATCATCACCCTTATCAAAACAGTTACGTGCTTTTAAAAACTCAGCTCACTGTGATCGATCAATTTGAAGAAATAACTTCAACAACAGGTTGAACCTGAGTGGAAAACATGGCCATTGTGGATGTTGTTTCAAAGCCTAACACAACGAAATGGACAGCGCTTTCTAAGGTGATTCATTCAAAACACCCATACATATAGAGCTTATGCATAGGCCTATACAGTGCATTTAGAAAGTATTCAGACCCTTTGACATTTTACACATTTTGTTACGTTACAGCCTTATTCTAAAATTGATTAAATAAATAAAAATCCTCATCAATCTACACACAATACCCTATAACGACAAAGAAAACAGGTTTTTGGACTTGAACCCGATCTAACATCTCTGGATAGACCTGAAAATAGCTGTGCAGCAACGCTCCCCATCCAATCTGACAGAGCTTGAGAGGATCTGCAGAGAAGAATGTGAGAAACTCCCCAAATACAGGTATGCCAAGCTTGTAGCGTCATACCCAAGAAGACTCGAGGCTGTAATCTCTGCCAAAGGTGCTTCAACAAAGTACTGAGTGAAGGGTCTGCATACTTACGTAAATGTGATATTTCAGTTTATTTCTTATAAAGGTGTCAACATTTCTAAACCTGTTTTTGTCATTATGGAGTATTGTGTGTAAATTGATGATTTGTATTTATTTAATCCATTTTAGAATAAGGCTGTAACGTAACAATGTGGAAAAAGTCAAGGGGTCTGAATACTTTCCGAATGAGTTCTGACAGCATCATGTCCCTTCCTGCCTCAGACCGCTCCTCCTCCTCCTCACAGGAGAGCCTCAACCGCCCTTAGTCTGCCAAGAGCTCCATTGGAAACACCCTGACCCTGAGCCCAAGCCAGAACCCCCCCAGAATTTAAATAATGTTTTTGTCGTTATACAATACATAGCCTAATAGGCTATTATGCATGGCAGAAAAAAAACATTAAAAAAAAAAACTACTGATTTAAGATGTGTTAGGTACATAATTGGTCAAGCCTAAATTCTACTAATCGCCTTTGAGTGTGGACTGTATTATTATGCATACTGGATGGACTGGTTACCTAATGCTACGCTCCAAACTGTCTCCATGAGTCTGGGAGAGAACATATAGACATAGGCGATGCTGTTGGTTCATTGATTGTGCAGGGCGGCTTACAGAGTTAGCCTGCAATTATAGCGAATTTGATTTTGAATCGTCTAGTAATTGGGCATTTTTTTATGTTTTCATAATTAATAGGTTGACACATTACCTTGTCGCTACAGATTATCTCACGACCGTGTGTTTCCATCTCCTCTCTCCTTCATTCCTTTCTCGAATGCGCAGAGAGGGGCTGTCAACAATTTCATGAAATGTTTTGTTGTGAAAAAACATGTTTCTATCAGTGTTCCCGAACAGATTTCACTTGATTTACCAAATGAAGCACTGGGTTGGAGAGCCCATGGCATAGTGAGTTTGGTTGGAATATCACCCGTTGCGCAGCGAGAGGCTGCATGGTCCTCAAACAGTGGTTGATGTGTTAAAGCAGAGTTTTGAAGGTCACCACTAAAAAGAGGAGGATCCCAGCTGCTACTGTGTAGTTATTTCTCAGCTGCTAATATTAAGCACATGCTTCGCTATAAAACCGGAGTAGCCTACCCGGCATGATTAAAAAACGAACCGTGGGAAAGTGGCCTCCATTCGCTATTCCAAGTGCATACGGATAACATCTATTTTTACCCCTGTTCCTGTACATTTGATAAGGGGCCATTCTAAATCGATTTTTTAAAAACATATTAGTAAAGACTAGTTTAAATTGAGAATAGTCTGATGGGTGAAAACATGATCACTTGATGGAGAGAACGTGTGCAGCCTGAGGCAAGGAACAGAGCGCAAGCTTTTTTTGTCGCATCATGCAGCCCATATATGTTTTGATTTCTAAGACATTCTAAAGTTTGTATCATTCACAACTAAAGTTGCCAAATAACTCTAAATCTAGCGTATAGGACCTGTTTCAAATGATCACTCTTACACTCAACATAGCCACTTCATATGCACACTCGCTCCGAAATGGGAAAAATATCATTTTTTATCCTTCCTTATTTATTTTATTCAGCTAAATTCAATTATATTCTTCTTACTATAAAATCATATAATATAAAATAATGGCACTGGACTTACAGTGAGGGGAAAAAAGTATTTGATCCCCTGCTGATTTTGTATGTTTGCCCACTGACAAAGAAATGATCAGTCTATAAATTTTATGGTAACAACAAAAAAATCCAGAAAAACGCATGTCAAAAATGTTATAAATTGATTTGCATTTTAATGAGGGAAATAAGTATTTGACCCCCTCTCAATCAGAAAGATTTCTGGCTCCCAGGTGTCTTTTATACAGGTAACGAGCTGAGATTAGGAGCACACTCTTAAAGGGAGTGCTCCTAATCTCAGCTTGTTACCTGTATAAAAGACACCTGTCCAATCAATCAATCAATCAGATTCCAAACTCTCCACCATGGCCAAGACCAAGGATGTCAGGGACAAGATTGTAGACCTACACAAGGCTGGAATGGGCTACAAGACCATCGCCAAGCAGCTTGGTGAGAAGGTGACAACAGTTAGTGCGATTATTCGCAAATGGAAGAAACACAAAATAACTGTCAATCTCCCTCGGCCTGGGGCTCCATGCAAGATCTCACCTCGTGGAGTTGCAATGATCATGAGAACGGTGAGGAATCAGCCCAGAACTACACGGGAGGATCTTGTCAATGATCTCAAGGCAGCTGGGACCAAAGTCACCAAAAAAACAATTGGTAACACACTACGCCGTGAAGGACTGAAATCCTGCAGCACCCGCAAGGTCCCCCTGCTCAAGAAAGCACAAATACAGGCCCGTCTGAAGTTTGCCAATGAACATCTGAATGATTCAGAGGAGAACTGGGTGAAAGTGTTGTGGTCAGAAGAGACCAAAATCGAGCTCTTTGGCATCAACTCAACTAGCCGTGTTTGGAGAAGGAGGAATGCTGCTTATGACCCCAAGAACACCATCCTCACCATCAAACATGGAGGTGGAAACATTATGCTTTGGGGCTGTTTTTCTGCTAAGGGGACAGGACAACTTCACCGCATCAAAGGGATGATGGACAGGGCCATGTACCGTCAAATCTTGGGTGAGAACCTCCTTCCCTCAGCCAGGGCATTGAAAAAGGGTCGTGGATGGGTATTCCAGCATGACAATGACCCAAAACACACGGCCAAGGCAACAAAGGAGTGGCTCAAGAAGAAGCACATTAAGGTCCTGGAGTGGCCTAGCCAGTCTCCAGACCTTAATCCCATTAGAAAATCAGTGGAGGGAGCTGAAGGTTCGAGTTGCCAAATGTCATCCTCGAAACCTTAATGACTTGGAGAAGATCTGCAAAGAGGAGTGGGACAAAATCCCTCCTGAGATGTGTGCAAACCTGGTGGCCAACTACAAGAAACGTCTAACCTCTGTGATTGCCAACAAGGGTTTTGCCACCAAGGACTAAGTAATGTTTTGCAGAGGAGTCAAATACTTATTTCCCTCATTAAAATGCAAATCAATTTATAACATTTTTGACATGCGTTTTTCTGGATTTTTGTATTGTTATTCTGTCTCTCACTGTTCAAATAAACCTACCATTCAAATTATAGACTGATCATGTCTTTGTCAGTGGGCAAACGTACAAAATCAGCAGGGGATCAAATACTTTTTTCTCTCACTGTAGAAGCATATCCTGTCAGCTAAATGAACAAGCCTATGGCATGGAGCATAGCCAGATAACAACATACAGTTGGTCAACTCATATTCTGTTCTTCTGAAAAATACCTGCCTAAAATAAATAATGGATTTATTGTTATGGTGTGTATTAAATGGGTTTATTAGACTTTTTCAAATGTAGATGTTCCAAAGGCGTGCCTCAGAGCCTTGTATGTGTGGAGGCCTGGAGATGCTAAACGTGTTTGTTAATTAATGGTAAATTACCGTGAGACTGGAAGTCATCTGCATGACAATAACCGACTGATAAAGTTTAATGACCGCCACAGCCCTATTCATGTCAGATCCCTAAAGGATTGACTGAGTTACAGTACATCTCCTAATGATTGGATCATGTAGTACCTCTTGAAGTGCATCTTGACTGTATCAAATGTAATCCATTCCATGCGGATTGTGAAGTACACCCAAGGGTTGCCCGACTTTCTCAGGCATTCCAGAACTACTTTAACACCTGAACGGTGTGCCACTCTGCCTTTTCTTCAGATTGGTATTCCCCAAAACCCTTTGGTGCTAGTCTGCATTCATTTTAGCACCTCTCCCGTCTCCGAACAGGGACCTAAGCAGTGTGTCGCACCCCACCTCTGCATCCTTCCTTCTTTATCCCGCCCCGTCATCAGCTCTCCTTCTCTCCCCTCTCTTTATTCAAACTGCTTCAAATAAGTCTGACAGCCGTCATTAATTGTGTATGATAACGCAAGTCCCTTTGCACAAGATGGGTCACACCGTTTGTAGAGGGAGGAGCAGATATCATTTAATGTGTCAGTGAGTGCCTCTGCGGTTCCCACGTCTTTTCTCTCCCACTCTCAAGGGGGATATCTGCCAGCCGCTCCCTCTCCAGCCGTAGAAAAGATTTGAGGGCTGAATAAATGTGACACTGTTTAACCATAGGGCTCTGTCAAGCCAATAAACTACCCTTTGTTACTGTAAAGAAATGGACCAGGCACATTTTTAAGCTGACGGGCCAAGATTCGAAGCTATGTGGGGGAAATACAGACTACAGAGAGCCCAGCATCTGTTGTTCTGGGGGCAACCAAACAGCGATTACTTTAGCATTTGTTTTAACTGACAAAGTGTTAGCCTCTAGGTCAATCCTCAGGACGGGGAGACTGGTTTGGATGATTTGGGTGAGCGGCGCAATAAGACAATGGTTGATAGAGTTTAGCGCTCCTAGGCTGACTAGCTAATTAGAAATGAGAAACACGGAAGGCAGAGATGACCCATAGTGCCCTGGACTCGTCTCTGCCTGGCATAGCATACATCAGGCTATCACTCACACTTAAACATAGCCCCTCTGACTTCAGAAACGTTTCACACAAGCCTAATTAGGTCCGGTCTCATGAGTTATAGACCGAGAACTGTAAGGTTTGGCTGTTTGAGGCCTCAGCCTTGAACTGGGCAATTAGTCCTCATATGGGTGGAGAAGATCTCCTTACCTGGTTTTCCCCAATTGTAAATCCAGTGCGGATTCAATTAACTTGACTCACTCTTGTGGTATGTCAAGCAAGTGGATGCAGCAAGCCAACACTTGCTTGACGTATCACTCTCCTGCCTGACCTGTGGAGTTCCAACTAACTGCTCGATGGATAAGTGACAATACATTAGGGTTCATTAAAAGTTTATTCCCATTCATCAGTGTTTTGCATTTTATATCCAGGATAAGACAAGTATCCCATCCATATGCTTGAAGGTGCCATAAATGTTCCATTACAGTCCCTCTATCTTGTCTCTTTCTCTCTCCAGGTATATCCAGGTTTGATGGTCACCGCAGGCCTTATCCACTACGTACTGAACCTGCTGCACTTGACGGTGCACATCCGGGATGTGTGCGTTTTCCTGGCGCCCGTGTTCAGTGGCCTGACGTCCATCTCCACCTTTCTGCTGACGCGGGAGCTGTGGAACCAGGGGGCGGGGCTTCTGGCTGCCTGCTTTATCGCCATCGTGCCCGGGTACATCTCCCGCTCAGTGGCCGGCTCCTTCGACAACGAGGGCATTGCCATCTTCGCCCTCCAATTCACCTACTACCTTTGGGTAAGCCTGCACCTTCCAGTTTGAACTTTATCCTTTATAAATCCCTTTTTAGATCCATTATTTGATTTTAATTTTACGACTACAGGTGTTTCTCAACATTGATACTACCGCGCGCCACACTCTCATGCTCCGAGTGCATTCTCCGAGGATGTTCTCTTGAGTACGTTCTTGTGAGGATGAGTGTGTAGAACGCATAAAACATAACATTTGAGAAGCACTCGCACTCCCCCCTACTGTATTACCTCACGCTGCTCCTCCCCTTTCACTGAACCTTCTTCCAGCCAGGCAGCATTTCATTTCGAAGTCAGTGTATTTTCTCTCGCTTCAGATCAAATAATTTCAAAAAATGTTGCATAATTTTGGACGTGATTACGTCAGTGCATACTTTCCGTTGAAGCTTGCATCGATGCATGCTTCAGAATATGTACAAACGGATGCATTCGTGAAGTGCCCTCCGTGCTCCGTTTCACATACTTTGATATGGACTCGTAAACCGCCCCTTGATGTTCTTTTTGTGTGTTGTCCGATCGTATACTCATGGCCCATTGCTGTGAAGAGGGACATGTTCTATTTGACGAGATTTGCAGTCAATGCGCTAATAGCTGCTTTGATGGGGTTAAATTATTGATACACTGAGAACCTTCACTCAGTCTGCTGACTGTCTGGGACATGGTGTGTAGGTTTCAGTCGCTGCTGGTGACCTTTAAAAAAAAATTAGCAATCGAAAATATCTAAGGTTGGAGGTGCAATGGGTTTCTTTCTTATCACACTTGAACAGTCCATTCAATTGAACAGTAACCCTTTTTTCTCTTAATATCACAAATAAACTGCCCTGATAGGCCTAGCGGAATGTCGGATAATATAACCAGATATTGGATAAGCTAACGTAGACGAGGTGAAAGGATTATCTATGAGCACAATGGCTTACAATACCATAGAAATGGGCCATACGCTGTAGAAGGAGGATTCTAGGCAAAATAAACTGCCATTGTCACATGATGTGCCCTCAGTGCGTGTCCTCTCCCTTCAATGGCAATAGAGCCGCAGCGTCGCTCACACCGCTCTACTCCCGCCCACGTTTTGTACATTATGCTCCCTGATGACTTGAGGCCGATGCAGGTGCATGCAACGTATACACATAGATGAAATTGAAGTGCATTGTAAATGGGCAAATGTGGCATTCATCAGCATTCATTTCCCCCTCCTTATCAAAGTCGACCTTGGCAGGGGGCGCCTGGCTCCCCATCAGTTCCCTTGATTAATTTAACTTGGTTGGCCTCTAAGCCCCTCCAGACAAGCTGAGAATCGCAAGGATCGCTCCACACTGTCATCCGCAAGGATTTTTCAGGAGTAAAACTGAACAGGGCTCTTAACAAACAGGGAGCGAGGTTGTTTTCTTCCTCCCAAGGACACACCGGCATTCACGCAGGTAAACGTGACACGTTCTCTCTCTCCCACCATGCTTCACTTGTTTTAGTCACCAATGGCAAGCTCTGCAGGACTCAGTGCGCCTGTGAAGGTAGAAAGGACCTTGTGTCCGTCCGTTCGTGCATCTCAGTCAGCATACCTTTGTCCAGTCAAGCATGTGCGTTGTTCCTGAACTTTTTTGTCTCTATGCATTTATCAGTCAGTAGACTTCTTTCAGCTTGACACTTGACCTAAGTACGGACATATTGAACTCCTGAGGGGACTTGAGACACCAACTGTTGCTTCCATAGCTTGAATACCCATGTCAGGGTTCTGGAGTGTCATGTTAACTCAGGCGAGTGTGACTGAGCTGATAACGCCACTTGGTTTGAAGAGCCTCTGCTTTCATCAACCAGCCACACACAAACCCACACACCCTGGAGTTGCCAGAGTTGTGTGACAGAGCGTTTAACCTCCCGCCCAGAGTGTCACAGAGAACCTCCCACATTATGGGTGTGATTGTCAGAGCCATGACTGACTCCAGACCCAGAGGGGCTCCACCCCTGTTGTTACATGAAACGCAGACAGCCAATGTATAATTTGCTCGATATTATGCATTTACTCAAGTACCGCTAAAACACTACCAGGGACATTGTCTGTAATGCTAGTATGATTACTTGGGAACCTGCAGTGTCTGATTTGTGATGAAGTGTTTTCCTTGTCATAATGATTCGATACAAATCATTTAAATATTTGGTTTAGGCAGAGGAGCAGCTGTTGCATCTGCAGCATCATAAGAGCTTTTAATTGCATTCCACATGGACCATGCCTGTCTTAGAACGAACCAACACAACGAGTGTGTCCCAAATGGCATCGTACTTCCTATATAGTGCACCTCTGTTAACCAGAGCCCTATGGGCCCTGGGCAAAAGTAGCGCACTATATAGGGAATAGGGTGCCATGATTTGGAATGCAGACAATGAGTGTTCCAGGTGACACTGGTGTCCCCCACCGGCGCCATCAGTATAAAAAATTAATAAATAACATCATTCCATTTGGCGAAAGCCCCGAAAAAACAATCATCCCGGCTACGCGTCACTGCTTTCCATTATCACTCTCATTTACCCACGTTTATCTCAGCGCTTTCACCATCTCTCTCATTCTCTTTAGCCGATCCCGCCTCGCATGCTGAAATCGGTGCCTCTGCCAGGCTTCTTCTCCAATCTTCATTATCCCTCTCCTTCATTTTATCTGCTAATAACCCATTCGACTCCAGCCATTTAATCTGCCTGGGTCGGCTCCCCTCATCCCCTCCCTATTCTAGAATTGAATCCTCTCGCACCCCAGAGACCTTCCCTTTTTAACACTAGCGCTACCCCCCGAACCCCCCTCCACCGTGCTTACATTGTTGTCCCACTAATTCCACAGTTTCTCCGGGGGGGAGTAAATGAGAGACGTATTTGAACATGAGCGATCACGTGACCGTGTGAGGGGAGTAGAGAGAGACGTATTTCAACATGACCGTGCAAATGCTCTGCATAGTAGTCTCGAGCCCTGGTAGATTCTATGCTAGCTGCCTTTTTAATTGTCTGTGGCACTGGGAAAGCTATAGGCTTCCGGTGTTCCTCAGTTGCCTACATCTTTGTCAGCTCCCTCAGGATTACCTGTGAGATGTGTAGCCTGCTTTCCACCGCTGATCAATCAATCCTCATCAGCAGGTCAAGTGACTGTGATGTGTCCCTCAGACGGCGTTCGATAAAACATTCTGTGCCCCCGCCTGTCCTGCACCCTGCCATCACTTTCCCACAGTGTCATGAAAGGTAAAACGGGCTGTCTGTCAGACATGGTCCCTTTTAATGTGTTGACTCAGGCTGTGGGGTGAGACCAGGTAACCAGCAGTCCCAGCTAGTGTGTCAGGAGCAGACTAATATGCTAGGCAGCCCTCTCTTTAAACACTAGCAAGGCCGCTGGGCCAGACTCAATACCAGGGCACGTTCTCAGAGCATGGGCAGACCAGCTGGCAAGTGTCTTCACGGACATTTTCAATCTCTCCTTGTCCCAGTCTGTAATCCCAACATGTTTCAAGCTGGCCACCATTGGCCCTGTTCCCAAGAACTCCATGGTAACCTGCCTAAATGACTATCGTCCTGTAGCTATCACATCTGTAATTATGAAGTGCTTTAAAAGGCTGGTCATGACACACATCAACACCATCATCCCAGACACCTTGGACTTGCATACCGCCCCAACAGATCCACAGGTGACGCCATCTCAATTGCACTTTACAGTGCTCTCTCCCACTTTGACAAGAGGGGAAATGACTGTGAAAATGCTGTTCCTAGACTATAGCTCAGCGTTCAACACCATAGTCCCCTCCAAGCACATCACCAAGCTCGGGACCCTAGGACTGAACACCTCCCTCTGCAGCTGGATCCTGGACTTCCTGACGGGCCAGACCCAGGTGGTGAGGGTAGGCAACAACATCTCCACCACACTGACCCACGACACGGGGCCCCTCAAGAGTGTGCACTAAGTTCCTTCCTGTACTCCCTGTACGCACGACTCCAACACCATCGTCAAGTTTGCTGAAGACACAATGGTGGTAGGCCTGATCACCGACGGTGATGAGACAGTCTACAGGGAGGTCAGAGACTTGGCAGTGTGATGACAGGACTACGGCCTCTCCCTCATCGACAGTAAGATCAAGGAGTTGATCGTGGACTACAGGAAAAAGGGCGGAGTGCATGCCCCCATCCACATCGACGGGGCTGTAGTGGAGTGCCTCTTCCCCTTCAAGAGGCTACAAAGATTTGGCATGGGCCCTCGGATCCTCTAAAGGTTATACAGCTGCACCATCGAGAGCATCTTGACTGGCTGAATCACCGCTTGGTATGGCAAATGCACCGCCCTCTACTGCAAAGCGCTACAGAGGGTGTTACGGACAGCCCAATACATCACTCCCTGTCATCCATCATCCAGTTAAATTTTACAAATGAATTAAAATTGAAACGCTGAAATGTGTTGAGTCAATAAGTATTCAACCCATTTGTTATGGCAAGCCTAAATAAGTTCAGGAGTAAGAATTTGATTAACAAGTCACATAAGTTGCATGCACTCACTGTGTGCAATAAGTGTTTTAAAATGTGCTTAACAAGTTGCATGGACTTTTGAATGACTACCATCGTACCCCACACATACAATTGTCTGGAAGGTCCCTCAAATAAGCAGTGCGTTTCAAAGACAGATTTAACAACAAAGATCTGGGAGGTTTTCCAATGCCTCACAAAGAAGGGCACCTATTAGAATAGGGGTAAAAATACAAAAAGCAGACATTGAATATCCCTTTGAGCATGGTGAAGTTATTAATTACACTTTGAATGGTGTATATACACCCAGTCACTACAAAGATACAGGCATCCTTTCTAACTCAGTTGCCGGAGAGGAAGGCAACAGCTCAGGGATTTCACCATGAGGCCAATGGTGACTTTAAAACAGGTGTAACACAACTAAATGTGGAATATGTCAAAGGGTATGAATACTTTATGAAGGCACTGTAAGTGGTTACCCGGACAATCTGCTCTGACCCTATCTTGCACTGCCTCTATGCACACTCGCAAGACCATATATGCACTATAGAGTATATACACACACACTACACTGACATTCTCACATAAACTCACACACACACACTACATACACACACACTTTCACACTCATATGCTGCTGCGACTCTGTTCTGTATTTTACTATCCTGATGCATAGTAATTTTACCCTCCCTTTTATGTACAGATCTACTGCAAATACCTTGTACCCCACACAGTGATGTGGTACTGGTACTCCCTGTATATATCTTTATTCTTGTGTATTTAATTTATCTTGTAACAATTAATGTTTTTATTCGTTTTTCTGCATCGTTGGGAAAGGCTTGTAAGTAAGCATTTCACTGTAAAGTCTACACCCGTTGTATTCGGCACAAGTGACAAATAACATTTTGATTTGGTCTCTGTACAGCTGGGAAAAAGGAAAGGGGTTACCTAGTCAGTTGTACAACTGAATGCATTCAGCTGAAATGTCTTCCGCATTTAACCCAACCCCTCTGAATCAGAGAGGTGCGGGGGGCTGCCTTAATCCACATCCACATCATCGGCTGCCCCCCAATATACAGTCTGATGCCCCTTAATCTGTTTAGGAGCTATAATTAACAGACTGTTAATGAAACTACCATGGTGTTTCACTAACACTTTTTTCCACATTTCCATCAAGAGAATGTAGGCTTTCCATCAAGTGAATGTAGGCTATGTTAGTTAAAGCATACTGTGGGAGTTAGAAAGTGCTAAGGACTTTGTTGTCCTGGATGATACAGTGCATTCGGAAAGTATTCAGACCTCTTGACCTTTTCCACATTTAGTTACGTACAGCCTTATTCTGAAAGGGTTTAAATAAATAAAAAATGAATCAATCTACACACAATACCCCATAATGACAAAGTGAAAACAGGTTTTTAGAAATATTTGCAAATGTATTAAAAATGAACAGAAACCTTATTTACATAGGTATTCAGACCCTTTGCTACGAGACTCGAAATTGAGCACAGGTGTGTCCTCTTTCCATTGATCATCCTCGATGTTTCTATAACTTGATTGGAGTCCACCTGTGGTCAATTCTATTGATTTGGACATGATTTGGAAAGGTACACACCTGTCTATATAAGGTCCCACAATTGACAGTGCATGTCAGAGCTAAAACCAAGCCATGAGGTCGAAGGAATTGTCTCCGAGACAGGATTGTGTCGACGCACAGATCTGGGGAAGGGTTCCAAAACATTTCTGCAGCATTGAAGTTCCCCAAGAACACAGTGGCCTCCATCATTCTTAAATGGAAGAAGTTTGGAACCACCAAGACTCTTCTTAGAGCTGGCCGCCCGGCCAAACTGAGCAATCGGGGGAGAAGGGCCTTGGTCAGGGAGGTCACCAAAAACCTGATGGTCACTCTGAAAGAGCTCCAGAGTTCCTCTGTGGAGATTAGATAACCTTCCACAAGGACAACCATCTCTGCAGCACTCTACCAATCAGGCCTTTATGATAGAGTAGCCAGATGGAAGCCACTCTTCAGTAAAATGCACATGACAGCCCACTTGGAGTTTGCCAAAAGGCACCTAAAGAACTTCCAGACCATGAGAAACAAGATTCTCTGCTCTGATGAAACCAAGATTGAACGCTTTGGCCTGAATGCCAAGCGTCACGTCTGGAAGAAACCAGGCACCATCCCTACGGTGAAGCATGGTGGTGGCAGCGTCATGCTGTGTGGATGGTTTTTAGTGGCAGGGAGACTAGTCAGGATTGAGGGAAAGATGAACCGAGCAAAGTACATAGAGATCCTTGATGAAAACCTGCTCCAGAGCGCTCAGGACCTCCGACTGGGGCGAAGGTTCATCTTCCAACAGGGCAACGACCCTAAGCACACAGACAACGTAGGAGTGGCTTCGGGACAAGTTTCTGAATGTCCTTGAGTGGCCCAGCCAGAGCCCGGACTTGAATCCAAACGAACATCTCTGGAGAGACCTGTAAATAGCTGTGCAGCGACACTCCCTATCCAACCTGACAGCTTGAGAAGATCTGTAGAGAAGAATGGGAGAAACTCCCCAAATACAGGTGTTCCAAGCTTGTAGCGACATACCCAAGAAGACTCGAGGCTGTAATTGCTGCCAAAGCTGCTTCAACAAAGTACTGAGTAAAGGGTCTTAATACTTCTGCAAATGTGATATTTCTGTTTTTGGGGTATTGTGTGTAGATTGTTGAGGGGGGGGGGGGGGGGGACATTTAATCCATTTTAGAATAAGGTTGTAATGTAACAAAATGTGAAAAGTCAAGGTGTCTGAATACTTTCCGTATGCACTGTATGTTTGACAGAATGACAGAATCAGTTTACTGGTCCTTAATCCTTTGTTGTGTCTGTTCTCCCCGTCACAGGTGAAATCGATCAAGACCGGCTCAGTGTTCTGGTCCATTGGCTGCTGCCTCTCCTACTTCTACATGGTGAGTGTCAAAGAGCCTTAATTGTTACTCGTAAACACATAGAAAACAGTTTCATTGACTTCCACCAACATAGCATCCCATCTCTGGCAATGGGAATTGGAAGTCATGATTACAGTAAGATTACCCCAAGATAGCATTGTTGAGTGCAATCGTAGACGTCAAAAGCGGTAATGAGTGGCGTGAAAAAGGAGTCTGCACCGGCGCGTTAAACGTTATTTATGAAACCCCCCCCTGAAACCCCCCCCTGTCGGGGTCGATGGAGAGAGAAAATAAAAGATAAACAGAGCCGACTGCCTCCCAGACAGGTTTCTTTGTGTACGATTGGTGATGTTGAGCGCCTGCAAAGATCTTCTGCTTCCAGTGTCTTCACAGTTAAGTCTCCCCTCTGCTCCGGAAAATACATATGTCAAATGAAACGGATTACAGAGATTCAGCTGCCATCGATCATGTCGGGGCCCAGCATCCAAACTCCGGCAGGGAAAAGCCACTAATGACCACATCTGAAGAGATATGAGAGCAGGGAGATTTTCTACTGAGAGAAACCACAGCAATTTTATAAGCCCCTCTCTCATTCTGTCTGTCTCCTCCGGAGTGAGAATATTTCGACCTCCCCCTCTCTACGGTTCTGAGTAGAGGGAGTACAGCTACAACCGGAAGTTACTTTTTCGTAGCAGGTTAGGATAATTAACATGGCAGGTTAGGAGACTTAGGTTAAGGTTAGGAAAAGGGTTACGGTTAGCTAAAATGCTCTCATAACCTGCTACAAAAAGTCACTTCCAGTCGTAGGTGTACTCCCTCTAGTCACAACTCCGCTCTACCCATCCCTCCCACTAACATCCTTCTGATGTCTGACCTGTTGCAGGGTTTGTTGGCAACACGACAAGCCCGTATCTCCTTTGTCGGCAACACGACAAGCCCGTATCTCCTTTGTCGGCAACACGACAAGCCCGTATCTCCTTTGTCACACGCTCTCACGACCCTCTAGTGCCCCATTACTCAACTGGCAGACCGAATCCGGACGTACAACAGAGTCAGTACCCCCTAGTGCCCCCAATACTCGGTCGTACTTCGACACCTGGTATCATATAAACACACATAAGACATGGAAGAATACGTAGAATTGCAGGAAATGAGCTTTAAATCAGCCCAAAAATCTCTGCCCCATGCAAAATGTGTTGAACTGTGGAAATTAGCTTTAAAACTGCAACATTTTCTCTCTGCCAACAAGAGGGGTGTGAACAGTTTGGGGTCGCATGGATTGCGAGGTGGGAGTTTACTACGCCGATAAATTACATTATCCAGCTGGACCTTTGCCACCTAGGAAATTTGTGTGACCGGACCTTCTCAAATATTACTTGAGTACCCCTGCTCTAGTGGGTGTGAGTAGTTGCAGCCCTACATGCTGCAATATCTACCCCTCCACCGTTTCTCCCCTCCCACTGTTGATTAAGGATACCCACCCATGGGGCTTAATCGAACATGACACATGCACAGCGAGAGATTCCGTGCTCAGCTCTGTGTCATGATCAGACCATGGAGGGAGAGAAGAAGCTCAGTTGAGACGTCATGATGGACAAGAACTGCGAAAGCCCCTACTGTGAGAGCTGCCTGATGTTCTATCTTATGTCTCCCGGGAGAGAATGTGTTTTCCCTAAGTGACAACTCCCTCCTACCCTGCCAGAACCCCCCTCCCCCGACCACGAGCATCATGGGAGCACTTCTGAAGTTCTTTTCACTCAAAGTATTTGAGGCATTCTCAGCAGCACAACTCAGCTCTTCATGTGATTGTAAGATGTGCCGCTTTCTGGAGGTTATTATTAGAAGTCAAGCGATAAAATCACAACTCGAGGCCCTTTTTACATTAAAGAAATCTATCCAGCGCTTTGCAGTGGTTCACCTACCTCCCCGGGCCCCACCTGACTTTCAACAAAACGACTTTCTCCCACAAATAACTTTATTTTCTCAGTCAAGGCCACAGCTTATATCCTCCACTCATGCCATCTGATACCCCCGTAGGTGACCGACAGCATCTCAGGTTATTCTGTTTCCAGCATCCTAAAGAGGTCCCTGAGCCTCTTTTAGCCGCCTTCTGAGGCATTCAAATCTATGCCCTTTTACCACTACAATACCCTCCGTCCCCCTATGCTTCTTCATAGTAATGAGAGCAGTGGAGTGTGGGTAAAGAAAATGGCTAAAGTCTAATGGTGTCTGGCTCTTTGCTGACCCCATTATGAACAGTCGCAGGGCCAAATGCTAATTTGAGATGCACTTGTTGTAGTACACACACTAACAGGTTAGCGTTGGGCCCATAGGAAGCCCTAACATAGTGTAACAGCCCTTCCTCCTGGTTGTATTGTAACATACACAAACTGCTCGTCCTCCTGGTTGTATTGTAACATACACAAACTGCTCGTCCTCCTGGTTGTATTGTAACATGCACAAACTGCTCGTCCTCCTGGTTGTATTGTAACATACACAAACTGCTCGTCCTCCTGGTTGTATTCATTTCATTTCATTTCAGTCATTTAGCAGACGCTCTTATCCAGAGCGACTTACAGGAGCAATTAGGGTTAAGTGCCTTGCTCAAGGGCACATCGACAGATTTTTCACCTAGTCGGCTCGGGGATTAGAACCAGCGACCTTTCAGTTACTGGCACAACGCTCTTAACCACTAAGCTACCTGCAAACTGCTCGTCCACCTGGTTGTATTGTAACATACAGAAAAGGTTGTTCCTCATTGTATTGTAAAGGAAGCTTGTCCAAGGACAACTGCTCTTCTCATAGAAATACTGTCAGAACATGGCATGAAAGCCTTACAGGGATGTCACTCAGATGTTTCAATACACACAGGGGATATTATGAGGATGTGGCTTATCTAATTAGGGAATCTGCTAACTACATTATCTCCAGCTTATAACATTCCTGATAGTTACTATTGCCAGAAGGATATATTATTAACTCAAAGCCAGAGTAAGAAGTGGTTTTATTGAGATTCATTAAGCAGGATGCCTAGCGGCCTAACCAGAAAAAACATTGTTTCAATCGAGGCCTTTCTCATGGGAAGTGTGATAGGTTTCTAGCTAAAACATCGTTTTTGCTGGTTTCTTGATGTAGGACTGAGCTATATCGATAAATACATTATTTACTCTAACAAGCATATTGATTGTGTATGCACCAGCTCTTTCAGCTACCTCACTGTCTCTTAGCAGACTTTATTTTGGTGGTAAACAAGATATTTTGTGCTTGGTGGTGCAGAGATTTTGACTGTACTGTCCTCAAAGAGTCTGAGTACAGAGTTGTTTCAAGCTTTGTCTTCGATATGGCTCGGTGTCTCCAGAAGATTGCTGCTTGCTTATTCGACCCTCAACCATGTGGGGGAAGTAATGCAGAAAATGTTTCTCATACACAAGCTTCTCTCTCTCTCTCAAACAACACACACACACAACGGCGAGGTCATTAGCAGTACATGTGTGAGATGTTTGGTCAAATTACGCTCCGTGGCCAGGAGGCTGCGGCATGCGACCCTCGGCGCAAGATACTAGCCTCACTCTCTCCTCTCCTCACTGATACCGCCCAGCAGTTCCTCTGGGCCGGCGTTGTGTTTTCAATTATCAACCTCTTCTCTCACAGAGAACCGCTGCGGCTGTGTTAACACAGGAAATTCGCTCAAAATGGGAGTTGTCTCTGTAATCATTCAAGTTACAGTTCAACTGCACCTAATTTAGCTCACACCATCTGAAGCTAAAGATGGAAATGGCTGTGAAAAGATAATTGCACTTAACCACTCCGGAACAAACTTATTGAGGGGAGTTTTATCTCCTTCTAGTGTGACTCTTTGTTTTAGTTTTTTCGCAATTAGAAGTAATTGCAAAACATATTTTAATCATAGATGAGTGATTGTGAATTAAATGTGTGACTAAGCAGGTGTGTGTGTGTGTGTGAGAGAGTCTACGATCCTTCTGTCTGTGCTCTGTACATCCTACGTACTGCAGTTGATGTTTTTGTAGAGTATTTTATAGTCCCCTTGTTTCACGCTGCAAGTCTGAGACAGTGTTGCTGCATAATTTCATGGAGCTTTTAAAATTATTGATGCATTTTACTTTACGGTCATACAGTGTTAAATATGATTGCATTGGTTTTATATGGGGCCACTGCGCATTTCCATGCATTCCTGGTGGCATGTGTGTTTTGCTGATGGCTCTGTGTTTGTTGCAGGTGTCAGCATGGGGAGGATATGTCTTCATCATCAACCTGATCCCCCTGCATGTGTTTGTGCTGCTGCTCATGCAGCGCTACAGCAGGAGGGTCTATATCGGTGAGTGACCACAAACACTTTCATCTGCTAAAGAGATGTGAACATAAACCCTCTACACTGAGTGTACAAAATATTAGGAACATGACATGGACTGACCAGGTGAATCCAGGTGAAAGCTATGATCCCTTATTGATATCAGTTAAATCCACTTCAATCAGCGTAGATGAAGGGGAGGAGACAGGTTAAAGAAGGATTTTTAAGCCTTGAGACAATTGAGACTTGGATTGTGTATGTGTGCCATTGAGGGTGAATGGGCAAGACAAAATATTTGAGTGCCTTTGAACAGGGTATGGTAGTAGGTGCCAGGCGAACCGGTTTGAGTGTGTAAAGAACTGCAACGCTGTTGGGTTTTTCATGCTCAACAGTTTCCCGTGTGTATCAAGAATGGTCCACCACCCAAAGGACACCCAGCCAACTTGACACAACTGTGGGAAGCATTGGAGTGAATATGGGCCAGCATCCCTGTGGAACGCTTTCGACACCTTGTAGAGTCCATGGCCTGACAAATTGAGGCTGTACTGAGGGCAAAGGGGGGTGCAAATCAATATTAGGAAGGTATTCCTGATGTTTTGTACACTCAGTTGATATGTGAACGCAAACCTTCTATCTGCTAAAGAGATGTGACTGCACGCACCTGTTTTCCTCAAAACAACCACAAATACTCTACCGAATGTGACTGAAAACTGAGTTTAATAATTCTGAATTTGACTGCGTATATCTTCCTGTAAATTGCTTATATTCGTCCTTGAGGCTTACAGAACACAACCCATCATTGTCAGACAGACAACATTGCAGAAATGCTGCAGCATCGTAGGCAGTACATATTTAGCTGAGCTGAAGGAACAGCAGGCTAGCTGGGATAAATGGTTTAGCATCAAGCATAATTTACACTTGATTATACATATTACTCACAGTAAACAGTACCCCGTTCTTGGGCGCTTTGAAAATAAATTACGTCCCTATTTAAAAAGAGGGCATTGACCCTGCTGTACTCAATCTCTTTGCATTTTCCTCAACCAAGGATTCCACCCTTCCACAAGAACCGTTTGTTAATGCAGACCATTTTTCCATTGCATTGTTCTGAAATATTTATGGCTTCGAACGCAGAAGCTGTCAACCTCAAACACCCTTTGCATAGTTATTCAAGCAGCAATCTTGTGTAAGGCCTTGATCCTTAAAGTGCTTCATAACCATCTCGTTTTGATCTAGTTTTAACCTTTCTCCTTCATCTACCATAGAGAAAGCTCTTCTAAAAACTAGATATCGCTTTGGCATCGGTGCTGGCACAATGAGTGCATTGTCAGTGTTACTCGCAGTTATATTTCACATAGTTCATCTCTTACATCCATCAGTCAACAGGCGATAATGAATCAGTCGGGAGTGCTCAGAGCTAGTCTGTCACTTCAAAAAGCCCCAGTGTTCAGAAAAGTATGGAATCTTGATTAGGGCACATGGCTTAGGATCAGATCAGCTCCCCCCCCAGCTACAAAGGTGGGAGTTCTACAGTTTCACTGCATCGTGGGCTCATGTTAGGCCCCCCACTGCGCATTTCTTTGCCCACTTCTATGTTCTCAGTAAATTACTCCAGATGAGATGTTATTGTATTTACTCCCACTCAGGAGATGCATTGACAAAATCAATGCACATTAAATACCTCTAAAGAGAGAAAAGGCGCTTTACCTTAACAACCCAAACTGAAGTGATAGTGGGTTTTTGAATAGAACAGTGTCTGTGTTCAACCTGTTTGTTTGATCTCATCTCTCGCTCTTGGTCTTTCTCTTTCTTTCTCCATCAGCTTACAGCACTTTCTACATCGTGGGCCTGGTGCTATCCATGCAGATCCCCTTTGTGGGCTTCCAGCCAATCAGAACCAGCGAGCACATGGCGGCAGCAGGTAAAGTAACTTTTTGTTATTCTGACTGTGAAACACTCCACGATTAGTGCAAATTCACCAAAGTAGCATAAAGTTTGCCTCTTCCTCTCTGGTTTTAAGGTGCTACATAGGATTTTATTTTATTTTCTGAAATTACAATGCAAAAATAAAAACAAAATCCTGTGTAGCACCTTAACCAGAGAGGAAGAAGTGAACTTTATGCCACTTTTGGTGAATTTGCGAGGCAACAAGACATTGCGATATACAGATTTCCAAGACATATGCGCACAGTTCTTTCTGCCTGCCCCCTCCTCTCTCTCCCTCGGGCTAGCTTGCCTGGTCTTTCTCTTCACTATTGACACAAGCGTGTGTTCAGTCTTCGGTCTGCTGCGTGTAGAATATGCTAGCCTATTCATTGATGATAGGCCCTGCTTTACTGAAGATGCAGCTTTTGATTACCGATAGATAGGCCTAGTGCACGGTTCTGACTCTGTCTACCTGGTGGCCGACCTGCCTATACTGTACCTCTCTCCGCTCTTGGTCCCTCGCTAGCTCGCTATGAAAAATGCAAGTGTTAGTGTTCTCGGAAGTACGGCAACTAATCAGTCTCTTCCGCAGTGTTGCCAACTCCTCAGTAAGGAAAGTAGCTATTGGCTGTCCTAAAAGTCGCTAAATGACGTCATCACCTAATTTACATAATTGGCAATGTCTATGTAATTGTGATGGACGCTGTGGGAGAGAGGAATAGCGTCGTGGGAGAGACAAAAAGTGAGTAAAAACACTCTACATTTACATCCCGCCCTGAATGTAAGCCAGGGCGGGATCAGCCAGCGGCGGCTTCCCGCATGCGCAGTCTGGACGCGGAGGGGTGAACATCTCCTCCTCTGACTGCAGCTGGGAGGGACTGCTGCGTGAGGACTGGGCCGAGTGCTTTGGGACAGGGGTAACAAAGCACCCGCTGCTCGTTGAGAAGAGTAAGAACGATACGTGCTTTCACGTCAGTCTCCAAAAGTCTCCAATAACACCAGAAAAAGTCGCTAGATTTGTCGCTAGTCGCTTTTTTGAAAATGTGTCGCTAGAGGGGTCTGAAAACTTGCTAAATATAGCGACAAAGTCGCTAAGTTGGCAACACTGCTCTTCCGTTCCAAAAAGACTGAATCTTAGGAGTTGAAGAGTCGATTCCTAGCGGAATCGAATCTTGACTTTTAGAAATGGGCGTAGACCCCAAGAGTTTATGCGCAACAAGTCGAGGAAGATATTTTGGAATCGACTCTCCACCACTACATCATCGTTAACAGCTGGAAAATTGGCAGAGAAAGTCAAGCGACAGCAGCAAAGTCCTGTATGGCAATACTTTGAGAAGTTATGTGAGAAGGTGGTGAAATGCAAACTTTGCAAGGTGGAATTTAGGTACAGTAACGGTAGTACAGGTGCAATGCTTAACCATCTGAAAGGGACGCACCGTGAGACCCAAACCGTTGCTGGCAGCAGCGCAGCTGCATTGTGAATTAATGTGTAATTTTATAAATGTTTCTTATCGTTACTTTTGTCACATCCCTAGTAACAGGATTACGTAGCTCTAAAGCATCAATGTATGTTCCTCTTAGTCTAATGTAGCTTCAGTCTGGTTTCTGAAGTGGTGTTTGTTATGCGGGTGACCAGGGCAGCACGTCAGCGGCGTGGGCTTTGAGGAACGGAAAGCACCGTCACACTCTCAAAGGATGGGCGTTTGGCTTCAGGCAGCAGCTGCTCGCAACATCTAGCGGCGTGTCTACAGCAACAGCCAGCGCGACGTGACAGGAAGGGAAAGAAAAGAGAGCTGGACCTCCCCGCAGGAGGCTGGCATCAGAGTGATGGGCATTTTTGCATCATTGCACGCTTTCTGGGTTCTGAAGGAGTTGTGACCTTGGAATGCTGCTGGGGGGGGGGGTGCCACATCAGATAACAGAACTGAGATCCCATTTAGTCTTAACTGTTCCAGTTATTCAAATATATTGTCATGCATTATTACAGCATCAGTGTGTAGCACATATATAGTAATACGACCATCAAATGATAGTCCTTATTTAAAATGTTTTGTATATAAACCTGCTTGCTTGAGACCCACATTAAGGTTGTTGTGATAATAACTCCAACATTCTGTGATTGTATGTGTCCTGTCACAGGTGTGTTTGCGCTGCTCCAGGCATATGCATTGCTGCAGTACCTGAAGGACAGGCTCACCAAGCAGGAGTTCCAGACCCTGTTCTTCCTGGGGGTGTCGCTAGCTGCTGGGGTGGTGTTCCTCACTGTCATCTATCTCACCTACACTGGTGAGTTCCTATACCATTACACATACACATGACTTACAGAAGCATGTCTTCATATAACACATACATTGCCTTCAGAAAGTATTCAGACCCCTTGACTTATTCCACACTTTGTTGTGTTACAGCCTGAATTCAAAATGGATTAAATAGATTTTATCTCACCCATCTACACACACACTAATCCATAATGACAAAGTGAAAACTTTAGACATTTTTGCAAGTGTATTGAAAATGAAATACGGAAATATCTAATTTACATAAGTATTCACACCCCTGAGTCAATACATGTTAGACTAACCTTTTGGCAGTGATTACAGCTGTGGGTCTTTCTGGGTAAGTCTAAGAGCTTTGCACACCTGGATTGTACAAAATTATTCAACCTCTGTCAAGTTGTTTGTTGCTAATTGCTTGACAGCGATTTTAATTCAAAAGTATAACTAGGTCACTCAGGAACATTCAATGTAGTTTTGGTAAGCATCTACAGTGTAGATTTGGCCTTGTGTTTTAGGTTATTGTCCTGCTGAAAGGTGAATTTGTCTGCCAGTGTCTGTTGGAAAGCAGGCTGAACCAGGTTTTCCTCTAGGATTTTGCCTGTGCTTAGCTCTATTCAGTTTGTTTTTAGAAAAATAAAAAAAACTCCCGGGCCTCCCGAGTGGCGCGGCGGTCTAACGCACTGCATCGCAATGCTATAGGCGTCACTACAGACCTGGGTTCGATCCCAGGCTGTATCATAACCGGCCGTGATCGGGAGGCCCATAGGGGGCGCACAATTGGCCCAGGGTCGTCCGGGTTAGGGGAGAGTTTGGCCGGGGGGGGGGCTTTACTTGGCTCATTGCGCTCTAGCGACTCCTTGTGGCGGGCCGGGCGCATGCAGGCTGACCTCGGTCGTCAGTTGAACAGCGTTTCCTCCGACACATTGGTGCGGGCGGGTGTTAAGAAGCGCGGTTTGGCGGGTCATGTTTCGGAGGATGCATGACTCGACCTTCATCTCCCAAGCATGTTGGGGAGTTGCAGCGATGAGACAAGATCGTGGTCCTCTGTAGCTCAGCTGGTAGATCACAGCGCTTGTAACGCTAAGGTAGTGGGTTCGATCCCCGGGACCACCCATACACAAAAAAAAAATGTATGCACGCATTACTGTAAGTCGCTTTGGATAAAAGCGTCTGCTAAATGGCATATTATATTATTATTATTATAAGATCGAAATTGGGAGAAAAAGGGTGTAAAATACACAAAACAATTACTAAAACTCCCTAGTCCTTGCAGATGACAAGCATACCCATAACATGATGCAGCCACCACCATGCTTGAAAATATAAAGCGTGGTACTCAGTGATGTGTTGTGTTGGATTTGTCCAAAACATAACGCTTTGTATTCAGGACATAAAGTTAATTTCTTAGACAATTTTTTTGCAGTTTTACTTTAGTGTCTTATTGCAAACAGGAATCATGTACAGGCTCTGTCATTTTAGGTTAGTATTGTGGCGTAACTACAATTTTGTTGATCCATCCTCAGATTTCTCCTATCACAGCCATTATTAAACTCTGTTTTAAATTCGCCATTGGCCTCATGATGAAATCCCTGAGCGGTTTCCTTCCTCTCCGGCAACTGAGTTAGGAAGGACGCCTGTATAGGTGCCCTTCTTTGCGAGGCATTGGAAAACCTCCCTGGTCTTCATGGTTGAATCTGTGTTGGAAATTCACTGCTCGACTAAGGGACTTTACAGATAATTGTATGTGTGGGGTACAGAGATGAGACAGTCATTCAAAAAGCCTATTAAACACTTGTTACACACAAAGTGAGTCCAAGAAACGTATTATTTGACTTGTTAAGCACATTTCTACTCCTGAACATATTTAGGCTTGCCATAACAAAGGGGTTGAATACTTATTGACCCAAGACATTTCAGCTTTTCATTTTTAGTTAACTTCTAAAAACATAATTCCACTTTGAAATTATTGGGTATTGTGTGTAGGCCAGTGACACGATATCTCAATTTAATCCATTTAAAATTCAGGCTGTAACACAACAAAATGTGGAAAAAGTTGTGGTTGTAAATAATTTCAGAAGGCACTGTAGTTAGTTCCACATACACCGGACATACAGAAGCATGACTTCATATACCTTATAATTAGTTACACATACACCTGACTTACATTAGTCAGTCCTCAATATATACCATATACTGTAGTCATATACCTTATACTGTAGTATCAGTTATATACAGTCCCTATACGTCAACATTGCACATACACTTTGCTTTCAAAACCAAATCCTCATATACCATATAATTACATATACACCTGACCCACCAGGTATAAACAACTAACACAAGCTAGTCCTCAGATACCATAATAGTTACTTTTTTTTTTTTAAATCTCTGTTACACATTTAGCTTGTATTGTTGAGAGCCTTTGTTACTCATGTACCTGGCCCACTAAATATATTTCTAACCTCCACTGCTCAACATTCCTCTCGAGTCCCGACCCACATATGCCCTACTGCTGAACAGACGCCTGACCCACTAAAACAGGGCTATTTAATTCCTGTCCTGGGAGGCCAAAACTGTTTAGTTTTTTTTGTTTCTACCTCGTAGTTAATTGCACTTATCTAGTGTCCCATGTTGGAATCTGTCCCTGTTTAGCATGGGCGACAGTGAAAACCTGAAGTGTTTCGGTTCTTGAGGACCAGAATTGAATGGCCCTGCACCAAAGGGTCCCTATTCACTTTGTCAATATATCTGTACACTACCCATACCACCTTATACTGTCACAAACAAACATACATACCAGTTTCAACCATACGCCAACAAGTCTGCATAATAACCACTAATGAAATGACACTAGTGTGTGTTCAAGTTCCCAATCTTGTGTATTGATTGTGTTTGTTCATTTAGGTTACATCGCTCCGTGGAGTGGGCGATTCTACTCGCTGTGGGACACCGGGTAAGCACTGCTAACCTTTCCTATCGATGAAACATTTGTTTAATTGAATGTGTGCGCTGCGAAAGGGCTTAGTCTCAAAGGAAATGCGAGCAGTCTTTTTCTTCCCAAACACGCTTGGACTACATTCTGTACATGAACTGCAGCATGTCTGCATTAAGCAACGATCAATCGGTTTGTTTGCTGACAGCACCGCACTTTCTCTCCCTTTACATTCCCTTTGAGGCGGTTTCTTGAATCTTTATCTTCCCTGAAGTACCAGATGTTTCTCTTCTATCTTCACTCTTCCCCCCTCTCTCTCTCTCTCTCCCCCTCTCCCCCTCTCCCCCTCTCCCCCTCTCTCCCTCTCTCCCTCCCTCTCTCTCTCCCCCTCTCCCCCTCTCCCCCTCTCTCCCCCTCTCTCCCTCTCTCCCTCTCCAGCTACGCTAAGATCCATATCCCGATCATCGCGTCAGTGTCGGAGCACCAGCCCACCACCTGGGTGTCGTTCTTCTTCGACCTCCACATCCTGGTCTGCACCTTCCCAGCAGGTCTCTGGTTCTGCGTCAAGAATATCAACGACGAGCGCGTCTTTGGTAAACTGGGGCTCGTTAAAACACAACATACATACATATATAATTTGAATACGTCTGAATATTTAGAGGGGAATATGGTGATTTGAGAGCAATATACATTATAGCAAGGACGTCCTCATGTTATTGATATACTGTACACACCTGTTCCTAGAAGGTGTACTGGAAGAGGGAATGCAGAACAGAATCACACTGCTCCAGTGCAGGAGGGGCTATGCTTGAGCTGGTTTCTGTTTTTCCCTTGCACTTAAAGGAAAACTGCCATTGATTGCTCCAAGAACCTACACATATGTTAACCCAGCTCTAAATCAGTCTCTCAGATTTAAAGAACACCCACGAGGACCTGAGTTGTGCACCGTGCACTTTTGACATGCATTGCATTCGGAAAGTATTCATACTCCAGGACTTTTTCCACCTTTTGTTACGTTACAGCCTTATTCAAAAATTGATTAAATTGTTGTTCACTAATTTACTCCAAGTAGGGAAAGGATGGTGGGGTTGAAAAGTAATAAAGGGGAGTGTATATATAGATAAAAAAAATATGGGGGATTGGAAGTGATGCAGACAATTACATTGATAGAAGATACAATCTATCTGCAATATTAAGCTGATCCATTCCCCCAGAGAAAAATAAATAAAAATAAATTGATTGATTTGTTTTTTTGAAATGTCAGACCCTTTACTCAGTACTTTGTTCAAGCACCTTTGGCAGTGATTACAGCCTCAAGTCTTCTTGGGTATGACGCAACAAGCTTGGCACACCTGTATTTGGGGAGTTTCTCCCATTCTTCTGTGCAAATCTTCACAAGCTCTGTCAGGTTGGATGGGGAGTGTCGCTGCAAAGCTATATTCAGGTCTCTCCAGAGATGTTCGATCGGATTCAAGTCTGTGCTCTGGCTGAGCCACTCAAGGACATTCAGAGACTTGTGCCGAAGCCACTACTGCGTTGTCTTGGCTGTGTGCTTGGTGTCGTTGTCCTGTTGGAAGGTGAACCTTCACCCCAGTCTGAGGTCCTGAGTGCTCTGGAGCAGGTTTTCATCAAGGATCTCTCTGTACTTTGCTCCGTTCATCTTATCCTCAATCCTGACTAGTCTCCCGGTCCCTGCCGCTGGAAAGCATCCCCAGAGCATGATGCTGCCACCATCATGCTTCACCGTAGGGATGGTGCCAGGTTTCCTCCAGACGTAACGCTTGGCATTCAGGCCAAAGAGTTCAATCTTGGTTTCATCAGATCCGATAATCTTGTTTCTCATGGTCTGAGAGTCTTTAGGTGCCTTTTGGCAAACTCCAAGCGGGCTGTCATGTGCATTTTACTGAGGAGTGGCTTCCGTCTGGCCACTCTACCAAAAAGGCCTGATTTGGTGGAGTGCTGCAGCGATGGTTGTCCTTTTGGATGGTTCTCCCATCTCCACAGAGGAACTCTGGAGCTCTGTCAGAGTGACCATCGGGTTCTTGAAAACCTCTCTAACCAAGACCCTTCTCCCCCGATTACTCAGTTTGGCCGGGCGGCTGCAGAAACGTTTCGGTACCCTTCCTCAGATCTATGCCTCGACACAATCCTGTCTCGGAGCTCTACGGACAATTCCTTCGACCTCATGGCTTGGTTTTTGCTCTGACATGCACTATCAACTGTGGGACCTTATATAGACAGGTGTGTGCCTTTCCAAATATTGTCCAATCAACAGAATTTACCACAGGACTCCAATCAAGTTGTAGATACATCTCAAGGATGATCAATGGAAACAGGATGCACCTGAGATACATTTTGAGTCTCATAACAAAGGGTCTGAATACTTATGTAAATAAGGTATTTCTGTTTTTTATTTGTAATTAGGGGGTATTGTGTGTAGAATTATTTAAAAAAATAAAAATACATTTTAGAATAAGGCTATAACGTAACAAAATGTGGACAAAGTCAAGGGGTCTGGATACTTTCCGAATGCACTGTAGATGAATTAACCGGCCTTTAACCTTTCCTGCCTCTCTCCTGCCCCCCAGTGGCTCTCTATGCCATCAGCGCAGTCTACTTTGCTGGGGTGATGGTGCGCCTGATGCTGACTCTGACACCGGTGGTGTGCATGCTGTCGGCCATCGCCTTCTCCAGTGTGTTCGAGCACTACCTGGGGGACGACATGAAGAGGGAGAACCCTCCAATAGAGGACAGCAGTGACGAGGATGACAAAAGGAGCTCAGGGAACCTCTATGACAAGGTTAGGAGGAGTCACGGTCCAGGGCCTGTATTCATAAGTAGGCTTGGGCGATACCCCGGTATACGGTATAAACGGTATATTTCGAAATACCAGGCACCCGGCACACCACAAGGAGTCGCTAAGGCGCGATGCCCCCCCCGGCCAACCCTCCCCTAACCCGGACGATGCTGGGCCAATTGTGCGTCGTCCTATGGGACTCCCGGCTACAGCCCAGGAATGAACCCGGGTCTGTAGTAACGCCTCTAGCACTGCGATGCAGTGCCTTAGACTGCTGCGCCACTCGGGAGGCCCACTCACTTTCAGTATTTTAATCAATTTCTGCACTGTGTTTTCACACTTATCTTAGTATGCCTGGGACTGCATTTTTGGCTGTTCTTACTTTTGCCACTAGAGGGCGCTCTGGCTATTTCTGTGGGTCTGTATCAAGGGGCCTGGGTGCACAAAACCTCCATCAAATTATTCAAAGAATTGTCGCTGAGGCCGATTTTTATTTTTTATTTTATCACTCAAAGACGAAGATATTAACATTTTATATTCATCCAATGTCTGCCATGTTTTTGGATGACGTAATGGCTCCCCTAGTGCGCATGTGATGTTGGTCCATATAAACCGGATGCAACAAAGATATAGACTGTCCATGAATCGGCGTATTTGAACGTGAGTAGATTACCTTGAAAAAAACTGTTGGACATCTTAGACACAGTTTCTAGTCCTCATTATACCTCAGTGGTCTGTACTCCTGAAGTTGACTGTTTTGTGCTTGTCATTTAGCTAGCAGTTCTCAGGTGTTAGCAGCCAATGGCTAGCAGTTTCTTACTGGTGATAAAAAAGGATGATTGCCATAATTGTTTTGAGTCATTAATGAATTATTTAATGTAACAAATCAAACATTTAACTTCGTAAGTAATTCATGATTACATCGTAAACAATTCATTTACACCCAGCGTTTATTTGAAACAGGCGTTTATTTGCAGAAATTTTAAAAGGGACAGGCAGCTATTTGAGACAGCGTTTAATTGAAGTTTTATGTTATTGTATTGCAAGTAGGCCTAAGTATTTTGTGCAAATGGGGGATATGATGACATGCTTATTCATAAAAACATAATAACAAGAAGCAGCCATTTGCCTTTGGTGAGAAAATCTATTTTTAATTTTGGAATCTAAATTAATTAGACATAGGAATCTACAGGTAACATAAAGTGCCTTATGGCCACCACAAGCAGAACAGCTTCAATGCACCTTGGGATAGATTCTACAAGTGTGTGGAACTCTATTGGTGGGATGCGATGCCATGCTTCCTTGTGTGGAAGCACCTGCTTTCAATATACTTTGTATCCTTCCTTTACTCAAGTGTTTATTTTGGCAGTTACCTTTATCTATTTTTATTTTCAGAACCATTACAGAATAAATTCATTTTCTGGCTGTGATGGGTTCATATTCCTGAAGTAGCCATACAACAAATTACCATGCGCATCTCATTTAATTTGACCTATGTATATAGTACACTACTTTTTATTTATAAGTGTCATGTCATACAAGCGCATTTAGTTCCACGTTTCCGCTCCTCGATTACCTTTGACTTTTTTCAAAAGCAGGAGAGGACGCGATGAGTCAAGCAATACCAATTGAGATTCACCTACTGCCCTCGCCTTGTAGGCCTGCTCTCACAATGTGAACCCTTAGCCGTTAATTCCATTTGACGCCTACAGGTAACTGCCAAAATAAAGGAAACACTTGAGTAAATGAGGGATACAAATTATATTGAATGCTGAGATGACAATGCCCCCATCCACAGGGCACGAGTAGTCACTGAATGGCTTGATGAGCATGAAAATGATGTAAACCATGGCCGTCTGTCACCAGATCTCAACCCAATTGAACACTTATGCGAGATTCTGGAGCGGCACCTGAGACAATGTTTTCCACCACCATCAACAAAACACCAAATTATGGAATTTGTCATGGGAGACTGATGTCGCATCCCTCCAATAAAGTTCCGGACACTTGTAGAATCTATGCCAAGGTTATTGAAGCTGTTCTGGCTCGTGGTGGCCCAACGCCCTATTAAGACACTGTATGTTGGTGTTTCCTTTATTTTGACAGTTACCTGTATTTAGCCAATATACATATTCCTGTAAGGAGTTACAAAATAATGACCAATTTCACTCTGTTTGTATTGCAACTCTCTGATACTCTCTGTTTAGTGGGCCAGTGTTGATGTGGTGTGTGTGTGTGTTTGTCTCCCTCTGCAGGCAGGAAAGGTGCGTAAGCATGTGTCTGAGCAGGAGAAGGCAGAGGAGGGGCTGGGCCCCAACATCAAAAGCATAGTGACCATGCTGATGTTGATGCTGCTCATGATGTTCGCAGTCCACTGCACATGGGTCACCAGCAACGCCTACTCCAGTCCTAGTGTGGTGCTGGCCTCCTACAACAACGATGGGTAAGGACAAGTAATATAATAATATATGCCAGACACTTAGCAGACGCTGTTATCCAAAACGTCTTAGTCATGCGTGCATACATCTTTATGCATGGGTGGCCCCAATGGGAATCGAACCCACAACCTTTGGCGTTGCAAGTGCCATGCTCTGCCGATTTGAGCCACACAGGACAAACTACCATGCAGTTAAATAATGTCTACTTGTAGAATGTAGACTCACATATTACACTCCATGCATACAAGCATAGCTCCACATGTCTTTCTGCGTATGTATGTGTATTCACACACGCACATGCATTGACACACATTGGGTACAAATGCGCAGACACACCTTCTCTCTCTCACATACCCACAAAAATGTTAAAAGGGCATGCACAGTCATATTTCATCAAGCAAGAGCTGCATGTAGCCACGTGTGAACATTTTGTTCATATCCTTTGCTAGTTAGTGAGTTATTAGCCCAGTTATAGATCATTTGTGGTCAGCAATGGGGGAGTGATTGCTTCCTACAAGGCCACAAAAAGTGTACATTTCTAGACATCTTTGAAAATAGTCTGGTAAAGTGCTTTTTTTTTTTTGTCTTAAAGGGGCAGTGTTGTATTTTGAGACATGCTTGAATAAGCTAAGTAGCCAATAGGCAGAGGGTAGCATAATTGGTCTGATTCTCTCTAGTAATGGTATGGGAATAATAATGCATTTTATTTTGTAAAATGGTTTCTTGCATCAAACACAACATTTTCAGTCACCTCCTTGTCTGAAGGACAAGTGGATAAACAGGTTAATGTTAAGCCCTGCATGTTTTGTTTTTTTCCAAAAGTCTCATGGAATGTAGGCCTACATTGAACACCACACATTGGCTGCTACTGTAGGCTGAATGATAGAACAGCTATTTCCATGTTAAAATGTTATGGGATGCATTTTCTCCATTGTTTTAGGCCACTCTGGTAGGTCTACATTATGATCAAATAGCCACAGTAGCCTACATGGCCACTTAAAACTGGAACTTAAAGCCTCAGTGTTCACAGTAAACGCGTGCTAGAAGTTGCACAGAATTTTCACAACTTTCAAGTTTGCTCTCAGCAGACCTGAAATTTGCTCAGTGCTGAAAAAATTTGAGGGAACATTGGTGGGTACAATAGAATGGGCTGTAATTGCCGTGACTCCCTGTCTCATAGGATCACATAATACAGTTGAAGTTGGAAGTTTACATACATCTTAGCCAAATACATTTAAACTCAGTTTTTCACAATTCCTGACATTTAATCCTAGTAAAAATTCCCTGTCTTAGGTCAGTTAGGATCACCACTTTATTTTAAGAATGTGAAATATCAGAATAATAGTAGAGAATGATTTCTTTCAGCTTTTATTTCTTTCATCACATTCCCAGTGGGTCAGAAGTTTACATACACTCAATTAGTATTTGGTAGCATTGCCTTCCAATTGTTTAACTTGGGTCAAACGTTTCGGGTAGCCTTCCACAAGCTTCCCACAATAAGTTGGGTGAATTTTGGCCCATTCTTCCTGACAGAGCTGGTGTAACTGAGTTAGGTTGGTAGGCCTCCTTGCTCGCACACGCTTTTTCAGTTCTGCCCACACATTTTCTATAGGATTGAGGTCAGGTCTTTGTGATAGCCACTCCAATACCTTGACTTTGTTGTCCTTAAGCCATTTTGCCACAACTTTGGAAGTATGCTTGGGGTCATTGTCCATTTGGAAGACCCGTTTACGACCAAGCTTTAACTTCCTGACTGATGTCTTGAGATGTTGCTTCAATATATCACAGAAAATATATGTGGTCCTCTGTAGCTCAGCTGGTAGGGCACGGCGCTTGTAACGCTAAGGTAGTGGGTTCGATCCCCGGGACCACCCATACACAAAAAAAAATGTATGCACGCATGACTGTAAGTCGCTTTGGATAAAAGCGTCTGCTAAATGGCATATTAATATCCACATAATTTTCCTTCCTCATGATGCCATCTATTTTGTGAAGTGCACCAGTCCCTCCTGCAGCAAAGCACCCCCACAGTATGATGCTGCCACCCCCGTGCTTCACGGTTGAGATGGTGTTCTTCGGCTTGCAATTTACCCCCCTTTTCCTCCAAACATAACGATGGTCATTATAGCCAAACAGTTCTATTTTTGTTTCATCAGACCAGAGGACATTTCTCCAAAAAGTACGATCTTTGTCCCCATGTGCAGTTGCAAACCATAGTCTGGCTTTTATATGGCGGTTTTGGAGCAGTGGCTTCTTCCTTGCTGAGCGGCCTTTCAGGTTATGTCGATATAGGACTCGTTTTACTGTGGATATAGATACTTTGGTACCGGTTTCCTCCAGCATCTTCACAAGGTCCTTTGCTGTTGTTCTGGGATTGATTTGCATCAAAGTACGTTCATCTCTAGGAGACAGATCGCGTCTCCTTCCTGAGCGGTATGACGGCTGCGTGGTCCTATGGTGTTTATACTTGCGTACTATTGTTTGTACAGATGGATGTGGTACCTTCAGGCGTTTGTAAATTGCTCCCAAGGATGAACCAGACTTGTGGAGGTCTACAATTATTTTTCTGAGGTCTTGGCTGATTTCTTTTGATTTTCCCATGATATCAAGCAAAGAGGCACTGAGTTTGAAGGTAGGCCTTGAAATGCATCCACAGGTACACCTCCAATTGACTCAAATGATGTCCATTAGCCTATCAGAAGCTTCTAAAGCCATTACATAATTTTCTGGAATTTTCCAAGCTGTTTAAAGGCACAGTCAACTTAGTGTATGTAAACTTCTGACCCACTGGAATTGTGATACAGTGAATTATAAGTGAAATAATCTGTCTGTAAACAATTGTTGGAAAAATTACTTGTGTCATGCACAAAGTATATGTCCTAACCGACTTGCCAAAACTATAGTTTGTTAACAAGAAATGTGTGGAGTGGTTGAAAAACGAGTTTTAATGACTCCAACCTAAGTGTATGTAAACTTCCAACTTCAACTGTAAGTTACCAAACCTATGGTTGCCTGGCTGTCATTCCTGTTACCGTCATTCCTGTTAGTCATTCCCGTAACTCTTCAACTCTGTCACTCCCCATAGGACGAGGAACATCCTGGATGACTTCAGGGAGGCTTACTATTGGCTGAGGCAGAACACAGACGAGCATGCGAGGGTTATGTCTTGGTGGGATTATGGCTACCAGATAGCAGGCATGGCTAATCGAACCACGCTAGTGGACAACAACACATGGAATAACAGTCATATAGCACTGGTGAGTCACACAACACAATATCAAAAGGGGGCACTGGGAGGTTTGAGGATTACGACTCAACTCAGACCTCATTCTCCAAAGTAAAGTAACTCTTATCAATTAATTTAATACATTCACTTGTAGGAGCTGCAATAATGTGTGTGGGATTAATTTTGCTCTTAGGCCTTGATTGATTTTCCCAGGGCCAGCACAACTTTGAAAAGCGAGTACTTACTTTATTGGAGTCTTATCTCTCCCTCTCATTTTCCCACCATCTCTATCTCCCTGCATCTCTTTTTTCCTCTGCTCTCTCTCTCTCCTCTCTACAAACTCCCGTTCTTCCTTCTCTCCTCTGTAGGTGGGCAAAGCCATGTCGTCCAATGAGAGTGCAGCGTACGAGATCATGAGGAGTCTGGACGTCGACTACGTGCTGATCATCTTCGGGGGTGTGATTGGTTACTCAGGCGATGACATCAACAAGTTCCTGTGGATGGTCAGGATAGCAGAGGGAGAGCATCCCAAGGACATTCGGGTGAGTGCCTGGTATCTTGAGACTGCCAAGTTAGGTTCACCGATGCCTCACGATACAGAAGGACCTTCATCCACTCCTATTTATGATCCTTTTGTTATGCTGATGAACCTGGGTAAACACTTAGATTTGAGCAATCCAGTAATTCATCAGTCTGGGTAAACCCAAGGACATTGCTGTTCCTAGCAATGTTTATTTTCTTCAATGACACTTGAGGTCGTTGGACAAAGTATCCAATGCAGATTTGTAAATATCTTTATTTTGCATGTGATTTTGAATATCAGAGATGAACTGAACAATTGAGGGTTGTAAGACTACATCATATCATAGATGGCAATTTGGCAAAGTATTTAAGTTTTTATTAAGTTCAGTCTCTGCTATTTGATGATGTCAGTATCCTTGAAGAAATGTGGGAAGTGTCTCACGCTCCTTCACTCCTCGTGACCATGTGCCCTTCAGGAGAGTGACTACTTCACCCCTCAGGGAGAGTTCCGTGTGGACAAGGCCGGCTCGCCCATCCTGCTCAACTGCCTTATGTACAAGATGTCCTACTACCGCTTCGGCGAGATGCAGGTGAGCGGTGGTGAAATACTTGACGCAAAAGTAGGCTACAATAAGCACTGAGTGACGGACAAGAGAGGGGCTTAAGGACGTGCTGACAGAAGCGTGAGGAGGGATGAAGGTGGGAGGGGAAGCGCTCAAATGCACAGGCTCTGGCAGGTACATACGAGATATGAGAGAGAAGAGCTGCCAGGTACTTATGGCGAGCTGCGTGTTGTCTGGCCAGCAGCTCAGTGAAGAGGAGGAAGGATCAGTGGGCTGCGTCAGTAGGGTCCACAGACAGGCAGCCAAGCAAAGCTCTGTCTCATAGCTGTCTTAACCCATAGAGGAGATGGAGAGACAGGTTCAGAGCATGGTAAAGGCAAGGGAACAGAGATTGGTTTTGTGGAAGAGGAAGTGACAAGGACAAAACAAGACCGGAAGGACAGAAAACGAGATGAGGAGGGTAGAGGGAGGGAGGGATAGGTGAAGTGATGTACAGATTTAAAAGAGCAGGGAAATGAAGTAAGATGAGAACAACACTTGTGTGAAGGTAGAATCAACCTTTATACAAGTACCATACTCACTTTAGCTGAGCTCAGTCAGTAGCTGCCCTCGTCAACACCCTCAACCCCCACCTACTGCTATCCTTATCTCTCAGCTGGACTTCCGGACACCGCCTGGGTTCGACCGCACCCGCAATGCCGAGATCGGCAACAAGGACATCAAGTTCAAGCACCTGGAGGAGGCGTTCACCTCGGAGCACTGGCTGGTGCGCATCTACAAGGTGAAGAAGCTGGAGAACAGGGAGCCGCTGGAGCACAAGCTCCGCAGCATTGTGCCCAGGCAGAAGTACACCTCCAAAAAGGTACGAGGCTTCAATGTCTCTCAGCATTCATTGTGCTAATGAATGTAAGACATTATATGATACTGGTATAGTGAGTTTACATATGATTATTTCTTCTCAAATTTTAGCCACCAAAAGGAAATGTTCATAAAATGTGAGCCAACTCACTTTTATTTTAACAGTTAATGTGTGTGCTCAAATTCAGATTAGTAGATATATATGAACAAATTGCCAATTGTAAATTGAATTGTAAATTAAGTTTGTTTTATTGCACAGACTGCTAAGAGGAAGCGAGGACACATCAGGAATAAGCTGGTCCTGAAGAAAGGCAAGAAACTAAACAAGAAATAATGAAGATGGACACAACATAAAAAACATACAAAAAAATTCAACTAGCAAAGAAAACTCTACCAATGAAAAAGAACAACGGCCATTGTCTGGAATGTGAGCACATAGCCTCGATGGGCTAGTCCTCTGAGCGCAGCACCCGTGTGGTGGGGAGGGTGAAGTGTCATATCTGGCTAGCCCCAGAACCTTTGTCCATTTTATCCAGAGGACCTTTTGTCATGCTCTTTTTTTTCTTTGTAGTTGAATGTGTGACAAGGCACAGAGCTGCTGAAACCGGGGTGAGCGTACATTTTGTGGTACATTTAACTGTTATTCTAGAAATGGGGACAAAACAAAGAGAAAGGAAACTGAGGAGGCTGGGAGCAATTGCACCAAAGAGCCCTTGATTTAGCTCCTTAAACGTGAGGAATGTTGGAATTAAGGACATGTTCCTGACGCATGTACAGACGATGGTATATGGTATGGAGGAATTCCACTGTCTAGGCACAGCTGATTTACTTTTGATGATGGTTACTTTTTATCATTATTTTGTTGTTTGGCTCTAATTTGTTGTTACCGAGACAATTCTTTAGAAAATAAAAGGCCTAATATGTAAATATGTTATGTAAAGAAAATGTCTAAAAGGGTTATAATATATTGGATTATTGTGGTGATTTTTAAATACGCAGATGATTTCCTCTTTCCTTTTTAGTGATGTTTTTTATGGCAGCAGATCATTCTCGTTAGGAGGGACTTGAGATTTTGTTTTAAAAGAATGTGAATTTTTAAGAACTTGCCCCCTTGAAAAATTGCTTAGATTGTATATTCTGCTGCTAGGTTACATTTTTTAAAGCAATTCTATGTAAAAAGTAGTGATTATTAATGAGGCCTCAACCCCGCAAGGGGCGCGTTCTAGTCCGTGAGCCTAGTGCCTCATCGCTGGTCTCTTTATCACCACGTTAGTATGTCCATCTGTCTTCTCATAGTCATTGTTGCCTGTCCACATACACATGTTAATGCTGTTGAGTTGATACGTAGGGTAATGGAGGAAAGCTGAAGTGCTAAATCTCAAGATGGCTGCAAGTGAGTGGACAAAGGGGTGGTGCCCTCTGATAACACTGTACTGGGCCCGTTGTGAATTCAAAATCTGTGTTGAACACTGAAGGATCGTATGTGTGCACTCAAGTGTGGGTGTTTGTGGGGAAAAAAGGTGACACATCAAAGACAGTCTACACATGATAACCTTTATAGGAAATACAGAGGGCTTTTTTTATCGTTGACAATTGACATCTTCAGTCACTCAACAATTTACCACATTTCGTTTGATACTCATTTTCCTGTAAACACAGAAGTGATGTTATTTCACCTTTCTTTGGATATACAAATTGCTTTGTTCTGTCCCTTGATATTCTCTGAGAAAGACTGCATTGTGTCACTGCTTTCACTTAACGGCCCTCCATACGACGCGATATCGACCTTGCTCAAACACAATCTTGAGAAACTCATTTATTTACATGATGTTAAAAAACAGCTCATATCAGAGATTTTTTTTCCCACAATGTCAATGTGTGTGAGAAGACAAATGGTTTGGATTAAGCCTTAATGTGATATAGAAAGTATTCACGTTGTTTTCCCCTATTATTGTCATCTTGTTTTCTTTATTTTGTCTGTTTTTATTGGGGATGGTGGACTAGTTCCTTTCTCCTTTTCTGGGTTCTCCAACTCCTCCTCTTCCTCTCTCTGCCCCACCACTACATTTATGTTATTTTGATCTAACAACCCTGGTCCCCCTCACCTTCCAAGTTAACATTTTTAAATTATCATGTTTAAATGTAGAGTAAATAAAAGGTTCAAGTTTGTGTAAGAAGTGGTCCTCAAATTATTCGCTTTCCCAATTGATGTGTTACTATCAATTGATCATTGTTAGGTGTTTGCCTGAGGCCCTGTCAAAAAGTATCTTTGGAACATGATATATTAGGGTTTTTTTTTTGCTTTGGAGGCAGGCTGCTTTTACTAAGTTGCTCAGAGGCTTCAGTCAATTCCAGGAAACGCATGTATTCAGTGAGACGGGAATACAAGGCCACTTTTTAGAAGTGCAATACAATAGAAATACATTCTAAAACCCAAGGCACATAAATACCTTTATATGGAAATATCTCTAATATTCTATAACAGGCAAAGGCTTGGGAATAAACTGAGGCTTCAGAGAATTAAAATGTACCACATGATGGCAGCACTAGCTTTCAAATTACAGCTGTTCTGTATTTTCCACTTACTGTTACTTGGGAGAATTTTCTTGAGCATTTAACGTTTTTCTTTAATTATGACAACAGACTTACTGTGATTGCCAGGGCACATTTTTTTAGAACAAAACCATGCCCCCATCCCTACCCTATTCAACCTACACTACATGGCCACCTACTCATTGAACATCTAATTCCAAAATCATGGGCATTAATATGGAGTTTCCACTAGATGTTGGAACTGCTGCGGGGACTTCCATTCAGCCACGAGCATTAGTGAGGTCAGACACTGATATTGGCCGATTAGGCCTGGCTCGCAGTCGGCGTCCCAATTCATCCTGAAGGCATTTGATGGGGTTGAGGTCAGGGCTCTGTGCAGGCCAGTCAAGTTCTTCCACACCGATCTCGACAAACCATTTCTGTATGGACCTCGCTTTGTGCACGGAGGCATTGTCATGCTGAAACAGTAAAGGGCCTTTCCCAAACTGTTGCCACAAAGTTGGAAGAACAGAATCATCTAGAAGTTCATTGTATGCTGTAGCGTTAAGATTTCCCTTCACTGGAACTAAGGGGCTTCGCCCGAACCAAGAAAAACAGCCCCAGACCATTATTCCTCCTCCACCAAACTTTACAGTTGGCACTATGCATTGGGGCAGGAAGCGTTCTTCTGGCATCCGCCAAACCCAGATTTGTCCGACGGACTGCCAGATGGTGAAGCGTGATTCATCACTCCAGAGAACGCTTTTCCACTGCTCCAGAGTCCGATGGCGGCGAGCTTTACACTACTCCAGCCAACGCTTGGCATTGCGCATGGTGATCTTAGGCTTGTGTGCAGCTGCTCGACCATGAAGCTCCCGACGAACAGTTCTTGTGCTGACATTGCTTCCAGAGGCAGTTTGAACTCTGTAGTGTGTTTTGCAACCGAGGACAGACGATTTTTACACGCTACGGGCTTCGGCACTAGGTGGCATCCTATGATGGTGCCACGTTGAAAGTCACTGAGCTCTTCAGTACAGGTCTTTCTACTGCCAATGTTTGTGACTGTGTGCTTGATTATTTTATTTTTTTTCAGCAACGGGTGTGGCTGAAATAGCCAAATCCACATACATTTGGCCATGTAGTGTATGCTATAAAATGAGGTGTTGTATAGTTTTTTTTACCCAAGTGAAGTTTGATTCAAGCTCTTGGATACATTGCAGTGTTCTACGAAACAAAAATTAATGCACATACATTCAGAATATCTATTTGTGAGCAGATATTTCCAAATAACCCACAGTCACTGTCCTGTTTGGGAAGCGCCCCAAACCCACTGTATACAAAAGTGCTTCTCAGTTTAAATAAGGCCAGTCCCATCAGACAGTGGTTGTGATCATGTGTTTATGCATACTGACTGTATCAATACTTGCGCTTGTCTTGATTACTGCTGGAGACTCTGTAATCAAAATCATGCATCTGAATATTGCCAGATGTTCTGGTCAAGATCACTAGTAATTCAAGAACACAATTGGGGCCCGATTCTGACCCGAGTTAAGCGAAATGGAACGTAATTCCCTTTATGCACTTTTCTCTTTATGCGTATTCTGACCTTTTAACTAGACTAGTGATCTATTCACCTGCTATTCATTTTGGGTGGAGATCGAATAAGCGGAGGTGTGTCTACAGATAAAGCATATTCGGACCTTGACTTAATTCTACCATCTTCACGCACAAGGAAACCATGAATAAGGTCTCTCGAACCTACTGGTTCCAAGTGGAAAAAGCATCTACTTAATTTATACAGTGAGAGAGCTACAAAAGTATTGGGACATTGACAATTGTTTTGTTGTTTTGGCTCTGTAATCCAGCATTTTTGATTTGAGGTTAAAGTGCAGACTGTCCCTATTTTGAGGGTATTTTCATCCATTTCGGGTGAACCGTTTAGAAATTATGGCACTTTTTGCACATGGTCCCCCCATTTTAGGGGACCAAAAGTATTGGGACAAATTCACTTACAGTGCCTTCTGAAAGTACAGCCTGAATTTAAAATTGATTAAATTTAGATTTTTTTGTCATTGGCCTATGTAGACACAATACCCTATAATGTCAAGTGGAATTATGTTTTTCAAAAAATTTCAAAATTAAAAGCTGAAATGTCTTGAGTCATTAAGTATTCAAACCCTTTGTTATGGCAAGCCTAAATACGTTCAGGAGTAAACATGTCCTTAAGAGGTCACATGGACTCACTCTGTGTGCAATAATAGTGTTTAACATGGGTTTTGAATGACTACCTCATTTCTGTACCCCACACATACAATTATCTGTAAGGTCCCTCAGTTGAGCAATGAAATCCAACCACAAAGACCAGGGAGGTTTTCCAATGCCTCATAAAGAAGGGCACCTATTGGTAGATGGGTAAAAAAACAATACATTGAATATCTCTTTGATTATGGTGAAGTTATTAATTACACTTTGGATGGTGTATCAATACACCCAGTCACTACAAAGATACAGGCGTCCTTCCTAACTCAGTTGCAGGAGAAGAAGGAAACCACTCAGTGATTTCACCATGAGGCCAATGGTGACTTTAAAACAGTTACAGTTTAATGGCTGTGATCGAAGAAAACTGAGGATGGATCAACAACATTGTAGCTACTCCACAATACTAACCTAATTGACAGTGAAAATAAGGAAGTCTGTACAGAATAAAAATATTACAAAATATGCATCCTGTTTGCAAAAAGGCACTAAAGTAATTCTGTAAAAATGTGGCAAAGCAATTAACTTTTTGTCCTGAATACAAAG